TATTCCTTATCTAACATGAATTTTTTTAAATTTGTGATATGTTTATTTAATTAATGAACTTTAAAATGTTGTTCACAATAATTTGTTAAACATATTAAATGAAAATAAACAAATAAAAATTTTGAATGTTAGACAGAACTATTGTTAACTTTTTTAATATATTACTTCCTTAACTTTTTACCCAAAAAATAAACTCAAATTTCAGCTTTTGAGGGCGGAAAAAAATTTCGGAAATGGTTTAAAGGATACGCAAAGCAAGTGACAGTGAATCTGTAATTGACCATTCTGACTTTCTGAGATGTTTCAAACCGTTTCAAGCAACATATATAGTCAGCAGATCTGTTATCAGTCACGTATATGAAAGAAAATATGGAAACAAGAGTTTTGGAGAGTCGAGGGCTATGGACCTTTCAGGAACCTTTTGCTTCAAAGATCTTTTTCCATCTTTGGGATGGACGTAGATGTTCTTACTGGTTTGACAGCAAAACTGGAAAGAAGTTATAGAAGTTAAATTTGTTAAGTAATTTTTATTTTATTCAAATGGATTTTAATGAATCAGACAAACCATTGTATTTTAACTCCGTAGCCTTTGTTTCCATTGGATCCATTCTCTTGGTTGCAACAATGTTGGCTACAATTCAGGTCAAAAGAAGAAAAAGACATGAGAAGCTTAAACGAAGTTTTACAGTAAAGAAAGTCATACAAATCTTGAGAGAGAGCCTTTATAACATTATATCCATGATGAGGAGCCAGCTCAACACAAGCATTGGCCAAGAATGCAAAAAACATTCAAGCAAATGGATAATTCCTCTCAAAAATGGGATCCATTAATTCCTTTAACTTTTCCATGTACCCATAAGAACATTCAAGCCCCGCCATCTCCAAAAATTTTCCATCTGCATTAGCGTCTTTACCAGATAATAATTCAAGCAAAACAATTCCAATTGCAAATACATCTACCTTGAGGGAAGCCAAACATAAGTAAGGTATTCGGGTGCCAGGTACCCCTTTCTACCCACAATTATAGATTCATTCCAGTTAGTTTCTCCACTTTCTTCACTGCAAATCACTGCTTTTGCTAATCTAAACCCAGTAATTTTTGCCCCTAATCCATGGTTACAAGCACATTTCTACTGTGCATGTTACGGTGGATAAAGGAAGGTTTTGTGGAGTAATGTATGTAATGGAGATCCACTGAAAGATCGAAAGCACTATGAGTTCTTTTTTCCCATGTAATCAGCGTTAGCATTAGCATTAGACTAGCAGACCGATCCATGCTTCGAAGTAGCGTATTCATGGACACCCAGAAGATTAGAAAATAAGTCCCTGGCACCCGTGGATAAAATTGGTAAATCCGTATGCAATTTTTTATATATATTATAAGTTGACTCCTTTGAAAAAGAAATCTTGCATCTGTCACTGTCTGGCAGTCCCTAAGCTACCATATCCTGCAAACTGAAACACGAGATAAGGATTAGTACCATAGCAGCATCCCTCAAGCTTCACAATGTATAGATGGCAAATCTTTGTCAATATGTAGATGACATGGCGAGCTGCTTCATCAGTGTTCATCTGTTCAATTGCGACATAGGAACTATAACTTTTCCCCCTATACACAGCTTTACCAGTCATGGATCCCTCATTGAAATCCTCAGTTCCATTCCTGAGCTCCTCGAAGCTTAAATTCGTTAATGACTGCTTTAACTTGGATATTCTATCAGGAAAATCATGTGAGACATTTGATGACACTGAACTTCTAGTAGATAAAGCTGAAAACTCGTAGGATGACACCTTTTCCTAATGCTTCTAAAAGCAAAGATATCTGCAATCAGCAGAATAATCACTGCTAGAAACCAAGTCCAAGAAATATATATGAACTCAAAGGCTTTGATTTCTAAAAGAATTTATGTGCTTAATTCTGTTAAAACTTTGGTTTCAAAACTATGAAGATGAATGTTTTTCTTGTCACTCTTGAAAATGGGCTTAAGAAAATTTTCTTTTCTTTATGTTGCTTATGACAGAAAATTTTATCATATAATTATACACACATAAAAAATTCACAAATTTCACATTCTTATATAAAAATTTAGGGTAAAATATATCATTGGACATTCAATTATTATCATGTTTTTAAAATAGTAACTTAATTTATTAAAATTTTTACTTTAATCACTAAAATTTGAGTAAATATTTTTTTGTCATTTAATCGTTAATTTCTAACAATGTAGTTGTCAGATACTATATAACATTATAACATTATCTGATATGTCGTGTAACATTACTGACAATATTATAAATTAAAAAAAATAAATTTTACTCACATAATAATGTCACGTGATACTAATAATTGACATGATATTATCACGTTAATACATTATTAGATACTAATAATTGAGTAATAAAAAAATTTACTCAAATTTTAGCAATTAAATTAATAATTTTAAATTTTTAATGACAATATTAAAATTACAATTATAATTGAGTGACTAATGGTGTAATTTGTCCAAAAATTTAATAAGATAAAAAATTAAATTAAAAAATTAAAAGCTTGACAAAAAAATACATGTATTGGGAAAGGAAAGAACAGACATTTCATAGCTCTGGGACATCCAATTTTTTATTTTTCTTTGTAAAATTTTGGGATAAGGAAAATAAGAAGTACGTTTCAAATGGATGGCATGGCTTTTGGCATGATCAATGTATTATTTCCAAATAAAGGGGTCTTTTACCCAATGGGAATGTCAAGAAATCCTTCGATGACCCCGAGGCACATGAGCAAGTCCTTTGCCAAGAAAAAAAAAGAAAGGGAATTTACAACTCCCAAAGGGCTGAAAATTTTTCTTTTCAAACGATGGCACGGGAATTTGGGAACTGGGAGTTGGGTTGGGTTCATTTCGCGCCTACTTGCTGGCTTGCTGTTGCTGCTTGTTTTTACAGCGTGTTTGGTGGTCTCCCTTTGCTCTGCTTATCTCCTCACTCTGTTCTTTAACAAACGGCTCTGCTTTCTTTGCTCTGCATATCAATCCATTAACAGTTTTAACACTCTTCTTTCTCTCTCAGTTTGATCTGCATTTCAAGGCCTTATCTTTCTTTCTCATGGATTTTTCTGCTACCATCGCCATGAAAGCTTCTTCTACTTGTTCATCTTTTTTTCTTTCTCTCGAACCCAAAATTCCAACCCAAGATCACTGCTTTTCAACTTCCATAAAACACCCAGAACCCATAAAAAGTTCTTTAAATCTCTCAAATGTGTCCAATCTTCGCCTCGTGGTTCTCTTCCTCCAAAGCCTACTTCTTTTGTCTGCTCTGCTGTCGCACTGTCTACCTCACAGACCGCTCATCTTCCTCCACGTAAACTCTCCACCCTTGTATCCGAATTCCAAGCCCTTTTAGAGCCTTTCCATCGTGTCAAGCGTCTGCTTCACTATGCTTCTCTCCTCTCTCCTCCCTCCGCTTATTCTTGGACTGACTCGAACCGGGTCATGGGCTGCACGACCCGAGTTTGGCTCGATGCTCAGATGGACTCTGAAGGGAAGATGAGGTTTTGGGTTGACAGCGATTCCGAGATTATTAAATGGTTCTGTGCATGTTTGGTTTCGGTTCTTGGAAGTGATGGGATTGAAAACAGAGGATATGGCGGCGCTTAACGTGCGGCTGCTTGGTGGGGAAAGGTCTCGTGTAAACACGTGGCACAATGTTTTGGTTAGTACGCAGAAGCGAACCAGGGCCTTGGTTGCTCAAAAGGAAGAGAAGACACCGTTTGAGCCGTTTCCTTCATTAGTGGTCACATCCAAGGGCGTTCAGCCAAAAGGGCTCTATGCCGAGGCTCAGGTTAGGTTTTTGCTGATTTTTTAACCCATTTTTTTTTATGATTTTATTTCCCTTGTGGTATTAAGATCCTAAATTTCAATTCTAGTCGAACAAGAACTTGATAATGTGCCGAAAGAAATCATTTTCAAGACAAATTCTTAATAATATGGATACGATGCTGAAATTTAAAATTTTTATATATTATTTTTTTAAAAAAAATTATATAAATTAATTGATTTTTTTCAGCTCTCATGTTAGTTTGTCTGTCATCAAATTGATCTTAAAATATACATTTGTAGTTTGTAAATATTTTTAATTATTCACTAAAAATTAATCTTTTTTTTTTCTTTCCTTATCAGCTGTAAACCTTTTTGTGCACAATCTAGAAAATAAAGAAAATCTGTGTTCATCAAGTCTTGCTGATATAAAATATTTAAAATTATCTATCTTTTTCTTTGATAATATATAATCAATTACTTTCACAAATATTTATTCCTTTCAAATACAATAACATTATTTCAAACTCAAACCAAGATTTATAGAAACGTTAATAATTGAATTCGGAATTAAATTTATCAAAAATTAAAATCTTAATATTTATTTTTTTTATTTTTAATTATTAATTTTATAAAAACTAATAATTAAATAATTTATCTTTTTTATATATTATTAGGAGTTTTAAAAATTTGAATTATTGATATAATTTTTTGTATATTTGAGGTGATAAAATTTTTTTAAAAAAAATAAATTTTATTCGTTAATAAAATATAATTATTTAATTTATTGGTAATATAATAATAAATATAAAATTTTATTTATTCAATAAAAAGAAATCATATCCTATTAAAAAATCATCACGAAATAAACACACAATTAACAAAGAATTGTAAATGTAAAAATTATAAAATTTACTAATTTATACAGGAGAAAAATTTTTTAGCATCAACCTGTCCAGATCGATCTCAAAAGTTAAAATGGACGGCAGCCAATGTTCTATGTAACAACTAAATGTCGGTGTTCCAACCAAATGTAACTAAAATTAGATTTATAAATCTAAAATACAATTTAAAATTTTAATTAAATTTATTTATTAATTTTAAAAAAAATAAAATTATGTCATATAATTTTTATATAAAATAAAATTAAAACATACAAATTATCAATATTTTTCGTGCACGATTCTCAAGTCTAACTAGAACTACAGAAGCCAACTCGTCTTTAACTTTTCCCACGTTTATTTTCATTATTTATTGGAAATCGGAAAAAGTAGGTCACATCCGCAAGAAAAACCTTCTCGAATCAGACTCCCATCCCATCTCTTTCCCATTTTCAGTAACAATCTGCATCAAAGTCATCTGTTGGAGGTTGCGTTTATCCACACAATTGAAACAAATAAAAAAAGGGTATGTCCGTCCTTCCTCCCGACATCCCCTTCCATTTTTTGTTGCATAATGTTGTTTGATTTTCTGTTGAAAGGCAAAATATATCATAGTTTTAATTTCCTGTTTTGTATGTTTTGGATACTTAATCTCTCTTTGGTCCTCTCAAGAAAGGGAAGCTTTCGTGGTGAAGATGCCAGAGAGAGGGAGAGACAGAGAAAGAGAAATCTGTTGACTGTTGGATTGATTGCCACTATCTCTGTCTTGTATGGAGGATTTCCGGTTGGTTTTGATCTGGGTTTTTAAGGTTTCGTGTAACGTCAATGGGGTTTTTTAACTTCTTTCGATAACCTGGAAATTTACCCACCTACCCTTTTTTGTACTAAATTCACTCACCGGCACAATCACACAAAGGCAGAAGATTGTTACTCCTGTGAATCATAAGCTTTGTGCTTGGTTTATGCTTCAAGTCATGGGTGGCAAATTGACCTAAAAGGTTGGACTTGAGAAAGATTTAGAAATTTTCTCACTTTAAAGTTCTTATCAGTTTCTTAAGATTGACATAGTTCATGTTCAGTATCTTGATGTGCAGTTATGCTTCTACGTAAGCCTAGTTTTATTGAGTGCTTTGGCTGTAGTAAACCATTGTTACAGTGGCTGTATGATAGCTTTTTTCCTCTTCTTTTTGACTATACTAGCGCCTTTTTTTCTTTGGGTAATTGGTGAATATATATGCAATGGGGTTTCTGTTTCTCGGATGTTCAGGTGAGCAAAACTGCTTCATTTAAAAATGGTTGATGCGTTTGTTTCCTATCTACATTGCTATAACTTTTAACTAATGGGCTGATGATGGCTGTGATTGGATGATGACTTTCTGCCTCGCTTGTTAGCTATCATGCATAATTCTTTTCTTTTGACTTTTGTTTTTAATTTTCTAAAGAATCCATTCCATTGCTAATTTCTTTTTCCATTCAGCCTTGCAAAATTTGTCATTGATATGGTGATTTGATAGGAATAAGGAGTAATCTCCACATGGGGTCAGCAAATGGATTAGCAAATGGGCAAGGCAGGCATCCGCTATTTTCCTTTGGTGTTATTTCTGATGTGCAGTATGCTGATATCCCTGATGGCCACTCATTCCTTGGGGTTCCTCGGTATTATCGACATAGTATGCTTGTTTTGCAAAGGGCAGTCAAGAGCTGGAACAACCACAATAATCTTAATTTTGCGATTGATTTTGGAGATATTGTTGATGGGCATTGTCCCAAGGATCAATCTCTAAATGCTGTGAAAAGGGTAGTCGGTGAGTTTGAAAATTTTAATGGTCATGTGTATCACATGATTGGAAACCATTGTCTTTACAATCTTCCTCGGGATAAGTTACTTCCTGTATTGAACATCCCAAATCTTGGTGGTGGTCACGCCTACTATGACTTTTCACCAACTCCAGAATACAGATTTGTTGTACTGGATGGTTATGATATCAGTGCAATCGGGTGGCCTCATGACCATCCAAATACATTGGAGGCCTTGAAATTCCTGAGTGAAAAAAACCCAAATTCAGATAAAAACAGCCCAGAGGGACTGAAAGGCCTTGATAGAAGGTTCCTTATGTTTAATGGAGCTGTTGGAAAACAGCAAATGGAATGGTTAGATGGTGTACTTCAGGATGCAACAAATTCGAACCAGAAAGTGATTGTATGTTGTCATCTGCCTTTAGATCCTGGTGCATCAAGCCAAGAAGCACTTCTATGGAATTATGATCAAGTAATGGATGTGATTCACCGGTTCCGATGTGTGAAGGTTTGCCTAGCAGGACATGATCATGAAGGAGGACATTCAATCGATTCTCACGGAATTCATCACAGAGTGCTTGAAGCTGCCTTAGAATGTCCACCTGGTACTGATGCATTTGGGTATATAGATGTTTATGATGACATGTTATCACTTGTTGGCACAGATAGAATGAAAAGCACCAATATCAGCTTCCATCCTTAGACAAATTTTATAGAATATAAGTCCCGGGAACATCCTTCAATTCATTCATCAAAGATGCAGAGCGTATGTTGTCTCGAAAAAAATATATGTACGAGTGTATGTTATGTAATTTACATTGACAGACAAATGCTTGGACTTTCAAAGGGTTCAATGTTCTTCCAAATTGCTTGGATCAGGAATCATTGATTTTGGGCATATTTTCTTCAGCTGATAATACCTGGTTATGTTTAGTTTTAGACATACTAATATTGGCACTTGATTTCTGTTCGGATTGCTGATTTTTGTTATAAATATTATAACAAATTTAAATTATAAATATTATAAATAATTATAAAAAAATTATAAATATTAGAATTTAAATTTAAATTTATTTTATAGTATTTTTTAATAATTTAATGATTAATTTTTTAAAAAAATAACTTGATGATTAAGAATTTATAGAATGATAGGCAACCTTGGTATCTTGAATCCGTTGATTTTGAATGTTTACTAAAATAAAATAAAAGCTCCAAATTTATGATACAATCTAATAATATTTACAATAAAGTCTTAGTGGAAGTTGAAATTAAATTTGTGGACCACCATCATCCACGTCATGATTTTTTGAAAAAAAAAAAAAAGAAATTTCAATGGCCTTTTTTTTTTCGCCAACGGGAAAGTATCCAGAATTTATTTCCTACAAAAATAAAAAGTAAATACTGGAAACGGGAAAATGGAAATGATTATTCATGTTTATTTTGGCGAGTCAATGACAGTTAGAGGAAAATTAAATCAATCCAAATTGATAAAAGTAAAAAATTTGAATTTGAATTTGAATTTGATTTAAAATTTATTATTTTAAATTTAATTTAAATTTTATCAAATTTTAATTTTTAAATTTAAAATCGATTAGAAATAAAATTTAAATTATTAAAATTTGTTTAACTATACTCATTTAATAAAAATAAATTTAATTTTCATTCTTTATTTCAAATTTAATTATATATTTAAATTCAAACTTAAACTTAACTTATTATATATATAATAATTTTATATAATAAAAATATTTAAAATTTAAAATTTTAATTTATTTTATAAATTATTCTAATCGGACAGTAGAAAGCTGAAAGTTAGATTAGATCGACAAAACAAGCTGTTCAAGCTTGACTGGATGGAGCCGAATCAAAATTTTATCGTAGCCGCACCCAAGTAGCTTGACGGATGTATCATTTACGCACCGTGTCACCGTACCATTAAACGCTTCTCTTTGACAAAACAACTCCCTCTCCAATCCCATCCCACCTCTCTTTCAAGATCTTTTTTCTTTGAAACTACATCTTGGGTTTTGTTTTGCTTTATTTTCCTATAAACAGTTTGGATTTTAATTATATAAACAAACAGAGAAATTAAAATTTTCTTAAAACTTTGATCTTTCTTTCTTTCATTTTTTTTTTTTCTGTTGAGGTGGTGCTTGAAAGGACAAGAATGGCGCAGGACACATCGTCCGAACAAGAACAAGATGATTCTGATGCTGAGTTCGTGGAGATCGATCCTACAGGTCGTTACGGTCGGGTTAGTTCTGTCACAGTTTCGCTCGCCTTTTGTTTTTTCTTTCTTTTTTTGGTTTGTAGTTTGATTTAAATAAAGTGGCCCATTTTAGAATAAAGTTTGTTCATTTAATATTTGATGTTCATTTGCATTTGGGATAATCTTAATTGATGTTACCTTTAATGGGTTATTTGGTTTTTGTCTTTTGCATTGCTTATTGCAGTACAAGGAGGTTTTAGGAAGAGGGGCTTTCAAAAAAGTGTATCTTTTTTTCTCTTTCTTTACTTGTTTTGGTTTATATTTTAATGTATTTGAGGCTTGATTTGTGAGTTGAGGCTGTTGTTGAATCTTTGATCAAGTTGTGGGAACTTAGATACAGAGCATTTGATGAACTGGAAGGTATAGAAGTAGCATGGAATCAGGTTAAGGTCACGGATCTATTGCGTAACTCTGAAGATATGGAGCGTCTTTATTCAGAAGTTCATTTGCTTAAAACTTTGAAGCACAAGAATATTATTAAGTTTTATAATTCATGGATCGATACCAAAAATGAAAATATCAACTTCATCACTGAGATTTTCACTTCAGGAACATTGCGACAGTAAGTTTTTGATATTCGGATGTGTGTTTTTTATGTGCTTAAAGTTTTGCATTTCATTTTGATTTTTTTGAGAATTTTATGTTTGATCGTGTAGGTATCGAAAGAAGCATAAGCATGTTGATTTAAGGGCATTGAAGAAATGGTCTAGGCAGATCTTGGAGGGTCTGCTGTATCTTCATAGTCACGAACCACCAGTGATTCACAGGGATCTGAAATGTGATAATATCTTTGTCAATGGCAACCAAGGTGAGGTAAAGATTGGGGATCTAGGGTTGGCTGCTATTCTTTGCCAGGCTCGTTTAGCGCATAGTGTTATTGGTAGGGATCATGTCCTCAATAACTGTCAATGCTACAAGATTTTGGAACCATCACAGATTTGAATACAAATAATAAAGCAATTGTTTATGTGATATAGGTACACCAGAGTTTATGGCACCAGAACTCTATGAGGAGGAATATAATGAGCTTGTAGATATTTATGCTTTTGGCATGTGTTTGCTGGAGTTAGTGACCTTTGAGTATCCTTATGTTGAATGTGCTAATGCAGCTCAAATATTCAAGAAAGTGACATCAGTAAGGCATTCATGATCTTTCCCATTTTTAAATGTTTATGGATTGGCTACTTCTTTATTCTGTGCCTTGCGTACCATCGTTTGTTGATTGATTATAATCCATGAGTACATTGTTTGTTCGAGAAATTTGGCATAATGCAATAACAGGTACCTAGAAATTGTTGATTCCCTTAGAATGGTTTGTCATGTTCTGAACAGAAGATCAGCCTTATTTACCTAAGCAAAGGAATTAAAACCTAGACCTCGCTTGTTCTTATTCACTAAATGAGGCATGCCTTGAGATGGCCTAGTTTGTTAACTTGTAACTTTCAGGTCTTGATTGAAAGCCTAAATAATTTTTATGTATCCTTTTTACTCTCTATGAATTTCCCTTTACCAAGAACGTTTAGATGTTATAAAGAAACAAGACATTTGGCTACATTCCATAGAAAAAAAGGAAAAAATTTGGCTATGTTTCTTGAACTGATCCATGAATTAGAATTTTCTTTTCACTGGTCATGTCATTTTCTGAAGCAATTTCAAGTTTCTTTCCTCATTAAGGTGAGAGGTTGTTGTCCTTCTTAGCTGCAGTAATTTTTTTGCACTTCACTTTTCAGTGGTCAAGTCAACCTTGGTTTATTGAGAATACAAGCAATCCAAGCTAAGTTTTAGTAACTCAGAGTTAAGGCAGTGTATTGTGATGCCGTTGATTATGTTTAGAGGATAATCCGCATAGATAAAAGTTTGGAATTTGTTCACTTAAAATTAATCAACGTCCATGATCTTTTACTTTTTCTCTATGACCTGAACCAGCTGAACTGGCCTTCGGAATTTTATCTCCTTCCACTCTTCAATCCCTTGATTTACTCAGTGTATGTTTTCCTTCTTTATTGCTGAGCCACTTTAGCCCACACGTATTTAATGGAATTGTCTTGTCTATAGAAGTTAAATCTTTGCACATGTTGACTTTGCTACAGTATCCAAATATTATAATCCTGTTTGGTTAGTGAAACCCCAAGAATTAAGGTAGCAGATATTTAACTGAATTGGATGGGCTTAAGTTGGTGATGTATGTGCTTTATCTCAAAATTATACATAGGGTCTACACTAGATAGAATGTTCTTTTTGCCTTATGCTAGCTTTTGCTAGTTTTCCATTTGATGAGGTTTATTGAAAGGATGATGAGTACTGATGAGCCTGGTTAACCAGGAAAGATGCAGACCTGGGGCGTCCTTAGACTAAAATACATACCCTGCTTCACTGTGGGCAATAACTAAATTGATGATAAATAAATTTCTGACCCGCCGATCTGTCATTATCAACTTGTATGGTTCAGTTTTCTGAGTTTTGTATCAAATCAAATTTGGTTATCAAAATTTGTGGTAGAATCAATGTCTTGGAATGGGCATAGTTGCTTGGTGCTTGAAATATTAGGTAATGTAGCTGTTTCCATGTATTAAATACATTTGTGGATAATGCAACACAATGCTTCTTGATTCTCTTGGTTCTTTCCTTCCTTGAGCAGGGAATAAAGCCAGCATCATTGGCAAAAGTGACTGATCCTGGAGTCAAGTTATTTATTGAAAAATGTATTGCTAAAGTCTCTGAACGGTTGTCTGCTAAGGAACTTTTAGGGGATCGATTTCTCCAACCTAATGAGGAAAATGACAGCGTAGGTCGTTCTTTACAGCCTAAAGCCCATATTTCAGGTAAAATTGAGGAGCTTTTTTGGAGCTCGAAGGCTTTTGAGTATTTTGGCCCTAACATTTTCACATGATATATGCAGATAGCAGTTCTGATCAGACTAATTTCAGGGGGAGGACCAAGGATCTTCAATCTGAGACGAGTGTGGATGTCAAAGTGCAAGGTCACAGGAAAGACCTTAACACAATTTTTCTGAAACTAAGGATAGAAGATTCCACAGGTCTTTCTCTTCTCCTCTCTCGCACACACTCATATGTTTATACCTTTGTCTGCTTTTTCTTGGCAGTTCTTTCTCCTTTCACTCCAGGGGAATAATTCATTCATTGGCATTCATAATCGTTTTTCTTATTGAAAACTGAAAGCCCTCCACATTTTCCTAGGTCATATTCACAACATCCACTTCCCATTTGATGTTGAAGCAGATACAGCAACTGCTGTTGCTAGTGAAATGGTTGAGGAGTTGGACTTAACAGATCAAGATGTTCCTACAATTGGTGAAATGATTGAAACTGAAATCCGGTCCCATATTCCTGATTGGGTTCCAATAGAAACTCCTATTGATAGTTTTGGAGAAATTGCAAATTCTGGTAACTATATCTCTGAAAATAAGGGTGATCGATCTTCACTGGCTTATGACCCAGTCTCATCTCCTGGTAGTCTTTCACTGGAGATTTTGCCATCAGGTTGAAGGTACTGGTCTGACTCACCCAAGGCAGCTGGTGGAAACTCTCCAGCTTGGGTTGGCATTTCAAACTTGGCTTTCCATGTGGATTTTGTAAGGTCTGCAGATAGCTTGGCTGAACATGTTGAACAAGCAAATGATAGATATGATAGTGGAGGTAAAATAAACAGTGGTACTTCACTTGAACTATTGGAGAATGAGTTCACACGTCACAATGGCAGAGATGATGACGGCAAGGTGAAAGATGGAAGCAGACCTGGTGACATGGACATAAAATTGAGTGCATCTGGGAAAAATCTGCATGACGGTAATGGAACACGTCCATCAGGAGAGAACTGTAAGCTATTAAAGGATACTGAATCAGGAGTGATGGTAATAACCAAGAGACTCGAGTCTCTGTTGGTAAAGCAGCAAATGGAGCTGGATGAAATAAAGAAGAAGCACGGATTAGCCATATCAAACCTTCTGGAGGAACTTTCTCCAGAAATCCGTGAAAAGGTTTTAGATACATGTAAGATGAAGATTCCAAAACGTACTATTCAAAATGAGACAAACCGCTAAATGTGCATCTGACATACCTAAGCTTCTACATGGAATTTGAATTCACTTTTAGTCTCACCATCGTGCAGTTTGATAATAGTCCAGCTATGTTCATACTCAAATATCTAATTTTCACTGAAAAGATAACCTTGTACAGCCTAGAAGGGATGGTGATCATACAAATAGATACTCCAGTAAAGCTTAAAAGAGCTTTCTTTTTGTTGGTAAAGTTGGACAGTCTATCTTGGTAGCCGATAAATCTGCAGGAATGTCTGATGTAGCTATCCAGCAGGCTGAAAGGCAACCCATGTAAGGCTGAAAGGAAAAGATTCAACAGAAACCTTGGTTTCCACAAATTGCCTGGTACTATTGAGGTGAGGCATTCTTCCTGCAAGTCATGTGCCTATGTGATATAATTTTGCATATGCCTGAGTTTTGCCTTTTTCTAAAATCTGTTTTGGTTTCATATTTCTTTCAAAAACTTCCTAGGAAGCATATACTTGTACATATGATTCTATCATATTTCTCGAATGTCTGGTTGTTTCAAATTACCTTCTGTACAAGACCAATGCCTTGCATTGCCATTTTTCTTTTTTCTTTTTTTTTTGGAAATATGGCTTGTGTAACCCCAAAAGTTTTTTTTGGAAATGTGGTTTTGCATAAACGTAGGGCTGTTATGAATTATTATGATTTAGTATCTATGTATGTCTCAGAATTATTATTTTTTGCATATAATCTATTGGAATAATGAATACTCGCATAGACATATATATATATATATATACACACATATACATATACATGTACATGTACACGTACACGTACACGTTTGCTACGACCACCGGAATGAAAACCATCATATAATACTTAATTGAGCTTTAACTTAGATAACATGGTGTGAGGATTCATGAGCGCAATGTGTCCACAAATGACGTGTAATATGGTTTTCGAAGATTGTCAAGTTTTTCCTCGAGTGATGTGGTATGGTTTTTTGAGAGTGAGTTTGAAAATTTATGCGCATAATAGAAGTAAAAGTTAAAATAGATTAAAAAAACTACCAATGAGCTTCTATTTGTAACCGGTAAAAAAATTCGTAATTGATGGGTTTCAATTTGACCCGATCTCTTAGGATCGATTTTTTTTTTTAAATCGGGTGTCGAGTCGAATTGAATGACATGAAAAAAAAATCTAGATTGAGTTTTAGGTAAATTCGATTTTATTCGATCCAATATATCTATATATATATAAATAATTTTTTTAATTATTTATTTTATTTTATAATTATTTATATATTTTTATATATATTTAATTTTATATTTATATTAAAAATAAATTTTATTAATTTTAGGTCGGATCATGTCGATATAATTTTATATAATATCTTATCACGTCGGGTTCGGATATAAAAAATAATAAAAAAATTATTGGGTCGGATTTGAGTTTTCATATGCAAAATTAAGTCGGATTCGAAGCGGAGTAAAAATCTATTCCGATTTAATCCGTTGTCATCCATATTTATAACTAAAAAAAAAAAAAAAGTTTAATTGATGCATATGAGATTTAACGGTGGTGGTTAAGATTTTTACCCAAACCAATTGTTAATATTAACTTATGATTGAATTAAAGAGGCCAAGATATCGTTGTTGGCGGGGGTCAATTGCAAGAGTTGGAGTGAGGTTCATAACACCCAATTATTTTTCTGTATTTGTATAAAGAAATTATTTTCAAAACTCGAATCCGTGACCTTCCAATCACAAAGAAGCAACCTTACCATTATTTAAAGACTATATATGTATAAGAGAAATTATTTTGATGTTCGATTGTTAGTGTTCACTCCATTGTGACTAAACATATAAAGCCTTAACTAATAAATATATTTCATCTTCCTTTTATATATTATACAAAAATAAGACTCAACATTACTTCAAAAAAGAAAAAGAATATGTCTAATAACATTAACTAATATGGGTCTGTTCCCCAATTCCCAATCTATCATTCTTGAATGCTTAGATGGTTTTGAATGGAGCTTTAACCTTGGCGAGGGCCTAGGATTCACCACGGTTGACTCCACTTTTCCAATATATATTTCAAGAATTTTCTTGCAAAGCAAAACTTGGCATGCTTTGAGATTTTGAGAAGGGTTGCTCTTTTGGGAGCACAGAACAATGGAAATTGTCTGTGTTTGTGGGAGTTATTGTCTATTGTAGATTCAGTCCAGGCTCCAGGGCATGAGTGGTGGTGGTTTATGCTGTCAGAATGTCAGCAATTGTAGTCTGCTTTTTTGGTTTTGAACTCATGAACTTAATTGAAATGGAGTTATACGATAGCAACCAAATTTTCCAATTCAACAGTTCGATTTATGATTTATCATTTATAAACGTTGATCAAAGATGATAACGAATCGAGTGTAAAAATTTTTTATTTATTTTGAATTTAATTCGATTTTATAAATTTAATATTTAAATTCAATTTGATTTGATATTAAAATATTATTTTTATATTTAAATTCAATTTGATTCATATATATTTAATTAAAATTAATTTAATTTGATTTAAAATTAATAAATTATTATTTTTTAAATATAAAATATTATTTCATATTATTTTTAATATAAAATAATTTTTAAATATAAATATAAAATTAAATAAATAATAAATAATATATAATTTGATTTTAAAAAATTATATAATATATATATATATCCATAAAACTCGACATCAAAAATTTTTTTTAAACATCCAACTTAACTTCTTTGAATCCCAATTTAAAAAAAATAATAAAAAACTGACCTTATAAGATAAGGTCAAAGCAAAATATGAAGCATACGGATTGCAAGACCAACCCTACTGTTGATGCGTAAAAGGTTAAATATAATGTGCGTGGATTGGTTGCTGTTAAAGTTACTCTATGTTATTGCAAACCGTGCACCATTATGGATGAGCTGCGTCTACTCCAATGAGACTTGATATGGTTAGAAAGCCGAAAAAGACGAAGGCCGTAGTTCTAGTTCTAGTTCTAGTCCTAGAGATATGCTTTTGTCTAGGCAGACAAGTAATGACTGCATGCATGCATGCTAGAATGGTCCCCCTACCACTACAAAATATACAGCATTAACCCTATACATAGCTCTAAACGGCAAACCCATCAAATAATTCTAAATCTTTTTAAACTGCATTTAATTTTTCTTTAATAAACAGCTCAATTAGCCTTAAAAGCAGAAGGCTGGAGGCAGAGTGACAAAAAGCCTGGCTAGCTACATATATAGCAGTATGGGGAGGAGAGAGAGGCAAAAGGTCACTAGTGATTTGAAGGCTTTCTTCTTCACTTTCTTCTTCACTTAAAGGCTGATACTATTGTTATTTGATTTAATTTTGGGCTCCAATATCTGTGTTTTAATCTACTTTGGCCTGCAAACTGCAGCTAAAGCTTTGTTGTCCTTGCCCTTTCTTTTGGCTACCATTTTTGCTTTCAGTTGGATGAGTTTCCTTTCCTTTATATTGTACGAGGTTTCTCTGAAAACCTGACAATCTAACATTTTGTAATCCTTTTTCATATTGTTAAGTTGCATTGCTTTCTTTATCCGGTTGGTATAAACCTTTTCTTATATATAGGAACAGGAGGCCATGAAGATTAATCCCATTGTCACAAACAAGAAATTGCTTTTTCCCTTTTTCATGGTTGTGTTGTTTGTTCTGTGCAAATCCCAAGATGATCAGGATCAGTTCCTTTCTATAGCACCAATGGTGAAGAAAGAGCAAGAGGCCCTATATTCTGCTATTCAAGGATTTGTGGGGAAGTGGTGGAATGGCTCGGATCTCTACCCAGACCCTTGCGGATGGACACCTATACAGGTTTCAGTAAATCCCTTCATCAGAATATATACATGTTACACTCATCATTTAACATATAAAGGTCATGAACATCAATTCTGATAAGTATTTAGCTAATTTTGTCCAATTTGAGTGAGAAAAAATTGGCAGAAATTAATTGATTCAAAGGAATTGTGGGGTATTCAAGTTTTTCTTGGTAATCAAGTCTTGCAGGCAAGCAAATAAGAACCATATGCAACCAACTACTTAGTACCTGTTTGGCTCAACTTTTTTGGTTCCTATTAGTGTATATTTCAAGTTATCTTAGATCCCATTTTTCCTCAATATTGTTATTTTAATACAAGATTTTGTATTTCAACAATCAAGTGCAGGGAGTTTATTGTGATCTCTTTGATGGCTTTTGGCATGTCACTGTTTTGAACATTGGTCTAGTTTTTGACAACTCTCTCCAGTGTAGCCAGAATGCAGAGTTCACACATCACCTCTTTGAGCTTACTCACCTAAGATCACTCTCATTCTTCAATTGCTTTTTCTCACCTAGACATAACCCCATTAGGATTCCCTCTTCAAACTGGGAAAGACTCTCAAACAGCTTAGAATCCATGGAGTTTCGATCAAATCGCGGTCTCATTGGTACAATTCCAACCTCTATTGGCTGCCTGAAAGAGCTCCAATCACTAGTGCTACTAGAAAATGGATTAAGAGGAGAGTTGCCTATAGAACTGGGCAGCTTGGTGAATTTGAGGCAACTTGTACTTGCTGGGAACCAGTTCACTGGTCAGATTCCACCAAGTTTAGGAGGGTTAACTGAGCTACTAATAATGGACTTAAGCAGAAACAATCTATCAGGGTCATTGTCGTTGGCTTTTTGGGGTAATTTCACTTCACTCCTAAAACTGGACTTAAGCTGCAATAAGTTACAGGGAAAGCTACCTAAAGAAATTGGAAGCCTAAAGAATGTCAGTCTATTGGACTTTGGCAGAAACAATTTTTCAGGTGGATTGGTTCAGTCATTTCAAGAAATGGTTTCCTTAAAAGAAATGGTGCTATCAGACAACCCTCTCGGGGGTAACCTCATGGGAGTTCAATGGGGAAACTTGCAGACTTTGGAAATTTTGGATCTTTCCAATGTGGGTTTGACAGGTATAATACCAGGGTCGATGACAGAAATGAAAAGGTTAAGATATTTGGGACTTAATGATAACAATCTGTCAGGAAATCTGTGTCCAAAGCTTGAAACTCTACCCAGCCTTGGTGCTCTTTACATTAATGGAAACAATCTGACAGGGAAGCTTGAGTTCTCAGAAGGGTTTTATAAGAAAATGGGGAGACGGTTCAGAGCTTGGAACAATTCAAAGCTTTGCTATCAGGCTGAAATGATCTCATTATCAAGCCATGTTCCTAATGGGGTTCAAGCTTGTTAACAAGAAAGTCCATACTACATTGAAAGGAAGCAAGAAGCAATCATATTCCCATTATTATGATGTTTTTTCATGTATTTAAGCTCAAGACAAGAGTACTTGATGGGTTTTCGAGGGTTTTTATCTTTATTAATTCTTAAAGCAGTAAGGAAATGATTATTGGAGTCCTTTCAAGCAATAATCTATATATTGAACATGCTAGTTATATGCAAACCTGAGAATTATTGAGAAAAAAAAAATCAAACTTTCTTTTTTGTTTTTGATAATTATCTCACCGGTATAGGAAAATCAGGAAATTTTGGATCTCATTGTCGATTTTGAGCAAAACCTCAAAGCTCTTTTTCAGTTTCTACCAATTCATAATGGTCAAATTCTAACTTTAATTTCAAAAGATTTAATTTAGCTGATTTATAACAATTATAACATTTACTAAGTAAATTAAGATTCAAATTTCAAAACAAATTTTTTTATATAAAAAAATCTGGCCAACATTTTTTCATAGATATTCCTAACAAACATGTTCAAGGGGAAAAAAGCATAAAATTTGGAGACATTTTGAAACGTTTTCAATGCTACACTAGATCATTTTACCTGATTACTGAAAAATGGTTAATCCTACTTACCAAGTCAAAGATTTTACTGGACCTCAACTCCACGGTTACAACCAACAATCCACTATCTCTCCCACTTCTCTGTCTCCAATTTTTTCTGACTCAGATAACTAACTTCAAAATTTTCACTTCCATTTAAGCCTACCCCAAGTACCCTTCCTCATGATTTCTGATCCTACCCACACTTGCCAAAACAACAATGGCTTCTCCTTCCAGCAAGGTTCTCATTTTCTCTTTCTTGATCCACTTTTACATTGCAATTTGTGCTGAATACGAAGTTAATGGAGATAATGGCTGGATTGTACCGAAGCATGACAATCAAATGTACAACAACTGGGCATCCAGTAACAGGTTCAAGGTTAATGACACTATCCGTGAGTATTAGTACTATAAAATTTCCTTTCTTTTCCAACTTGTTTATTTTGTTTGCTTTAATGCTGTTTTTTTTTTTAAATCCTGTTTTAGATTTTAAGTATAAGAAAGACTCGGTGTTGGTGGTGACACAAGAGGAGTATGACAAGTGCCAGCCCTCTGATCATCCTCAGTTCTTCTCTAACAATGGTGACACAGTCTACAAGTTGGACCGACCTAGTTTGTTCTATTTCATCAGTGGGGTAACCGGGCACTGCCAGAAAGGGCAGAAGATGATCATCAAGGTGTTGGAGCCAGCAACTCCACCGGAACAGTCCCAGAACATGAACAGCACGACCAATACACCGGAGAATAAGAACAATGGTGCAGTTGGGGTTGCTGCTGTTACTTCTTCAACCCTTGTGCTACTGCTGACATCAGCTTTTGCTAGCTTTTTAATGTAATTCTCTTTTGCATTTGCCAGTCTACATTTATTTTTCTGTTTCATTTTGATTATGTGATTGCTAGGATTCGTGATTTATCAGACTTTTTGTGCTTTTTTTTTTTTTTCAAATACAAAGAGTAAACACTGATCTCAAAACTCTACACTTTAAACATGACAGGATGAAAAGATATAAAAAAAAATAAAAACAATAATTTAAAATTTTAATAAAAATTATATATAAATTTGATAAAAATAAATATATATTTTGTATATGACAAACTGTAATACAAATAATTTTCATATTTTACATGTGTTTTAATAAATAGATACGGATATATTGCCAGATCTATCAAAATCTTTTCAACATATAAAATCATTAGATTGTGAGACTGAAAGAATAATTTCCTTGAGAGAATTAATGATGGAATTATTAAGCAAGAATAACACAGAACTTACATACTATTTTGAGTAAACAGTGATTCATTTTAGAACCAAGAATCTATGTTCATGTTCAACTTATAAGACTCGTGAAAGCCTAATAATGCTATCATAATTCAGAGCTGATTCCAAACTCTTTTTTTTTCAAGAAAAAAATGGTACAAATGCAAAATTGTTGCAGAACCATGCAAGAGGCTTCACCAACACAGCTTCTGCTAATACCTTATAAATGGCTTTTGAATGATACTTTAGCTAATACCTTACAAATTGCCGTTTATCATCTTCACTTCTCTGCCTCCCATAAGGGTTGCTTTCACTAAAATTGTTTCCTTCAACTTTTTGCATTTTCTTTCTAAATTTGGATGCATTGCTGTCTATATCCAGATTCACCTTCGGAGGGCATGAAAAGCAGAAGGAAGCTGCGACGGCCTGCTCAAAACAAAAATTTCCATTTCTTGTCGGTCAACTTAATACACCTAGTTATTTACAAGATTTAATCACAAACAACAATTTCACTGTCAAGATATTCTATCACCAGTTAATGATCGATTTAGATTCAAACACGTTGCACAAACAGATGCACAGAATAGAGATCTACATTTTAGAATGCCAGAAGAATGATTGTACCTGCAGATCAAGGCGATGCACATTAAAGATATCTTTCATCGAGTGTGAATTGTAGGCTAAAATGTAGGATCGATATGCATCTTTAGCTGACTTGTTTAGATAATAGTTGTTTGCCACCAACTTCTCCTGCATCATTCCAAGTAGACACTCTAAGCTCCTCCATACTTTGTTATTTCAAGAAACTATATTGAACAAAGAAGCAAAAGGTTACCAGATGAGACTGCATATTCACCAGCTTTTTCTCATCAAACTCATATTCCTTAACGGGAACTTTTGCAGCCTGCCATTATAAATATAGTGAACAAAGAAACAAATTAGAATTAGTTCTTTAACTGACCACCACTTTCAAGCAATCTTGTTTTTAATATTCCAACCCCTTGCTAAAGCATTTAAGTCCATCCTAATAATCAGTTCTTTAACTTTGATTGCTCAAAGTTTTTTAATGATAACTGCTTTTACTCCATTCCCCCTGCCCCACTTTCTTTCTCTTCAAGTAAAGAAAGCCATTCAGCAGAAATAATGCACCTTTAGATAGCGAAGAAACTGAAGTTCCTCTGGGATCAGGAAAAGCAAAGCATTTCCTTTTGCACCTTCCCCACGGGCAGTTCGACCAACCCTATGAATATATTCCTGAAAACAACATTCCCAAGCCACTATTTACTCAACATGGATAACAAAATAGCAAGATACAAGAATAGCAATATACATATACACATATAAGGAGCATCCACCTTGGGTTCGTCAGGAGGATCATACTGCACAATCCAATCCTACACACAGAAAATAGAAAACAAAAAGCTTCAGTCAAAATGATTCCATGCCAAACCATTATTGCAGCAACTATTCCAACTATGTCCACTCTTTTCTTTTTAATAATTCAATTAACCATAGCATTCATGTAGACAGGCTTCAAAGCTGAAGCCAAGTTTTCCATTTTTCTCCCCTGTTTCCCTTTTGGTGCTACTATCTGCCACTTCATTGTGACTCTACATGAATTTCTACAACATAAAAATTATAAAAACAATAAAAAACCAGTTATAACCGGAATTAAACATAGTCAACAGCAACCCAGGAATGCAGTGTAAGCAGAATTGTCAAGTGAACTTAACCAGTTTATATGCATTGTGGGAGAATATCATTTTCATTTTTTAAGTAGCATGAATTTCCTGACCTTGCACAAGATGCTAATGCATTATGCATTTTTATATATGATCATACCAATTACAGGTATGGAAAATGTATAGATGTTTGCACTTGGACCACATATATACACATTAAGGTACCACTGTTCCAACAATGAGCAGAAACAGCAATAGAATATCATAAATAGATAACTGCCACCACAGGCAAGGAGCATTTCCCCTACAATTCATTTTATTACAATCCTGCAATTAGCTAATCACAACAAAGAATTATGTAGGGGTCCACCACTTAAAAGTGTGGGCTCCACATAATTTTTTTATGGATCCTATGCAATGCTGAATTATAATTGGTTAATTGCACTGCAGTAATTGTAGGTGACATGCTCCCTCACCGGCAACCAAGTTAAACAAAGACACATACCACAGCAGGAATGTCAAGTCCACGCGCAGCAACATCAGTGCAGAGCAGAATGCCCTTTTCTGCTTTGCAAAAGTCAAAGAAGGTGGTTGTCCGCTTTTGCTGCTTTTGCTTTCCATGAATATCAAAGCAATCCACATGAATATATCTAAGAAGTTCTGCATGAAACTTGACTGAGTTGCATGAAGAGAAAAAGACCATCACTTTCTTGGACAGGTTCCTCTTCAAAAATGAATATAAAAGGATAAATCTCTTGGAACTATGCACAACACAATAGCCTTGCTGAAGCCCTTCATTTGTGACCTACAATTAGAGTGCCTTATTAAGTCAAAAGATAAGCCACTAGTGCACTTGACAGTGTATGCATATATTTAAATTCCTACTATGTGTCTACCTTCTTTCTCCCATCATCTACATCAATATAAATAGGAGTTGACTGAAATGACAAGCGGGCAAGGTCCTTGACCTGCAGATGTAGGGGATAGTCACAATAAATAGTCACATAAATAATATAAAAATTTCACTCCAAAAAGAAAAGGAAGAAAAAAGTTTCAAATTTTTCATGCACGAGAAAATAAGCTTGCCAAACAATTTTCCGAAGAAAGCTGGCATACATATGACTATCAATTAACCTTAAGTTAGAAAAATAGTCAATAAACATGAGAGTGAAGGACAAACCTTCTTAGTTTGGGTAGCTGAAAATAGAGCAGCTTGCCTGTTTTCCTGCACATCAAGTAGGAATTTAGAAAGCTCTAAACACCTTACAAGTTACCACATCTAATACTTGTGTATAACTGCAAAAGGTAACATAAGCATAAAGCTTCTATTGGAGAAGCAAGTGGCATTGATCTTGGTTTAAAGTTGTCATAAAAGCAATCTCCTAGAATCTTTTGTGAGAGTGGTGGAATGCTTGATTGAGCTTACTAATATTTTCAAAATGATTTATTCCTCCTGGGTTGCAATTACAACTATATATATATATATATATATATATATTACAGAGCTTACAAACATTTTTTATAAAGCAAAGTCTGTTAATCCCTAGTATAAATTACTCTTGCAAAATATATTCTAACATTCAATTTAAAGAGCACTAGCATACCCCTTTCAAGTTATTAAAGAACATTACACTAATTATTTTGGATCCTCCACATAATTTCCAAGAAATGCCCTTGGGATGACATCATAAAAATCACAACAGACACAAGTAACTTCATAATCAACAACATAAATGGCCAACATGGATTCGCCCTTTTAGAAGCTTCATTCTTTGCTTCATTTATTCCCGAAAAATAACTAGAGGAAAAGAAGTCTATTTCTCTTTGCGAAAGATGCATCACAAGTTGACAAAACCTGGTTAATGCAACACAGTTCATGCCTGTTCTTAAGTTAGTTGACCAAATGAACATAGCCTTCAGAAAGCTAAGCTTTCTAATCCCAGTCATATACTACCTCAGAGAATATATTCTAACATCTAATCTAAAGACCCTAACATACCTCTACGATATCAATAAAGAAATGTTATTGCCACTATTTTGGTTACCACCCCTTTCATTTCAGAAGTACTAGAGATGGATTAAATGACAAAATCCAAAATCATAATTTCCTGACATCATTCCAATCAACAAACATAAATGACTGAAAACGTCACCTTAGGAAGATACTTAATAATTTGCTTCATTTCTTCCTCAAAATTTGCTTCCAATATCCTGTCAGCTTCATCAATCATGAGACACTGAAAATTTACAGAAATTCATGATTAAAATAAAGAAAATCACTTGCTCATCCAGTTATCCTTCAAAAAAAATGCAATAATGCAAATTCTAGTCGGTCTATCATCAAAGTTTGATCATTATACATAAAAAAATAATAATAATATGAGGTCAATCTGTCATCAGTGAAATACATTTCAATCAAGGTAATCTCTGGTAGGTTTATAAAGTATAACACAACCCCCGTAAGAGGGGACAAATAAAACATGTTTCATTTCATTAGCTAAAGATGAAAAAAAAAATAGTATGGTGATGCCAGTTACATCACATATCTGTTGCATCTAATGAAATTAGTATCTTTAAGAGACAACATACTTCTAAGTACTAAAAGAGACATCATGAAAATACCAAGTACTCAATGTAATTACTTCTGGTTAATAGTACAGTCTCCAATAGGTGAGGACACGCACAAGAAAAACTTAAAATCAGGAAATTGAGTCTAAGTAAAATACATTCTAAGCAAAATGACTATACAAACTACCATATTAGCCAAAGAAAAAGTGAATCATATTACAAACAAGGTTAAGAAATTTTAATCTTACCTTCAAATTTTTATAAATGAATCCCTTCGTATGTTGAAGATGGTCAAGTAGGCGACCAGGAGTAGCCACTAATAAATTTACTCCCTTCACAATCCGCTCTGCTTCTCCCCTTCTGGCTGAACCACCAATAACCAATCCAAGGGTCTGAGAGTGGTATTTGAGAAGATCCTTTGCTACCGCATGAGTCTGAAAAGTTTGCAGGTTACATTGCTATTAGTGAATAAAATCATTGAAATATTAAGGTGTAATATATAGTCAAAATTTAAACCAAAGCAATTGATTCTGTCAACTTTAAAAGAAAGAAAAAAGAAACAAAAACAACTCCCTTGTTTTAAGATTTTTATTCCCATTCAAGAGGTTAGGTGCAGATGTATCATGCTATTAAGAATAAAAGAACAATCAAAACTATAAGAAATTACAAATATTTATACCATAAAAATAGCCATTAGAAATCCCTAATTATTTAACAGTAAGCATCTGCCAAATAAGGGATTTATCAACTTATTGTCCATAACTCCATACAGCATATCTACTAAAAAAAAAAGGTTAGCTGCATCCTTTTCTTGAGAACTTATTTTCATCTTTGCTCTTTTCTTTTTCTTTTCATAGTGATAAATTAATTAATTCACATTGCAATTAGTATCCTAACTTTGTTAATACATTGAGAAAATGATACAAATGCATGAAGGTGCTCCTACATCAACCTAGACTGTTTTAAATTAAGGTTAAATTCAAATAAAAATATAATATGTTTGCAGACAAAAGCATCTTTAGATTTTCAAAGAGTGAACTTCTCACTCAAGACACTTGGCATTTGCAATAGGCAGCATAATATTGAAGCAAGCTTTTATCTAAGTTATATTCAGAATAGGACAGATTTCACCATGGCACTAATGAAAACTCCATTGAAATTACAGGAAAAGAAAAAGCAAGTTTTAACTCAGAGAAAAATTTGACAGTACCAACAGTGAAAAAGGGTTTCAAGACCTTTACCTGAATGGCAAGCTCCCTTGTGGGACAAATGACGATAACACCTGTTCCATTGCGAGGAGTGAAGCGAACATTATATAACAACTCAACAGCAGGTACCAAGAAAGCAAGGGTTTTCCCAGAACCCGTCCTTGCTGCCCCAAGAACATCTTTGCCAATCATAAGTGGTGGAATTGCTCTGGCTTGAATCTGCATTTTTAGTTTGACAGGTCAATTGTAAGAAACTTATAAGTCTCACATAAATTAACCACATGAAAATAAAAATAGTGCTGTATACTTCAACACCAGCTTCATGTATAGCATAAAAACATCAAACTTACAACAAAAAGTATATTTATTCCCTGTACAAAACTCCAAAACCAGAGGTAGACCGTATTTGAACAAACTTACAGGAAACAGGAAAAACAGATATTAGAAAATTTTAGCATAGCATCCAATGTAGAAAAACATTATTAATAGATGCCTTGTTTTCTTTTTCAGACTCATTGGCCTAAGGTTAAAAGCTACATAGAACAACAACAGATATTCAACGGCCCCCTTTAGAAAAATTTCCACTCTATTCCATGGCTTGTTTCATATATGCAATCCTGTGTCATTGAACTCTCAATTGAACTAAACCAACTATAAAGTACACATGTATAAAATCAAACAAGCGAATTCGAAACAAAATTAGTTACACAAATAATTGAACAAAAACATAAGTGAAAAAATGTATACCTGAGTCATATACTGAAAACCCATTTCTTTAATAGCCTTAAAAGTAGGTTCAGATAGTCCCAAAGACTCAAATGACTCAGTGCTCATTATCCCACTTCCCCCACACTTCACTTTCTCTTTTATCTCTTCCTTGTCTCCTTTTTCTTCTTCTTCTTCGGCTTCTTCATCTTTTTCCTGTTCCTCTCGTTTCTTATCATCTTCACCGTTCACCCTCTTATTTTTCTTCTTCTTCTTCTTTTGCTCATCAATTTCAACTCCTCTAACTTCTGCTTCATCTTCCTCGTGTTTCTCTTCTTCAAATTCTTCTTCTTCTTCTCTATCAGTGTTTTTATCAGGGTTTTGGTGCCTTGATTTCTTAGCTCTGTTTCCCTTTCGCTTCCTCTTCTTCTTACTCTCTTCTAAAGAAAAATTAGGGTTTTCCCCTTCCGCTACCACCATTGCTGATGAATCCAAGCTAACGCTAGCCAAATTTTTTTCAGGTTATAGCTTCTAGGGTTTTGTCTGTTTGCAGCGATTTTAATCCTTAAACCCTAGTCCATTGAGTGTGTAGTGAGTTGGTAGTGGACTAACTCGAGCGAGTTGACGTAAGAGATTTTCTATTGTAGAGCCTGGATTAAAAGTTGGGCTTTTGGAAGGCCTTCTTTTCCTACTACCAAATATTTCTGGATTTTTGGGCTTATAAAAGGCCCATTTGTAATGGGCCTGGGCTTGCTGATGGCACCTAATTTTTTATTTTTATTTATTATTTTAAAAAATTATAAAAACAAAATCTTATAAAATCAAATGTTGATAACGATTCATATTGGTTTCGGTTTGGTTTTTTCAGATAATGCATAAATTATAAATTTTAAAATTCAACCCGAATCTGAACTGATCATCTTTTGAAACCGATTCGATTTAAATTGAATTTTATTAGTTCGATTCATCAATTTTTAAATTTTAAATTTTTTATATATTATTTTAATAAGAATTTTAATATGTTTAAATAGATTTATATATAAAATAATATTTTTATTTTATAAAAATTTTAAAAATATATAATTCGGTTTATTTTAATTTTTTTTGGTTTCTCACATCCAAGTCTAAAATCTAATTCAAACTCAATATATACATTTAATATTCAAACTTAATTCGAACTGAATAAAAAAAAATGAGCTGAAGCAAATACTTTAATTTTGAATTGATTTCTGATTTTTTTAATTTTTTTCTCATCCCTAGGTGGCATATTTCGAATCAATTATTATTTGCTGTCAGGTGCATCACACCTGAATACTCAATGTATATATCAGATTACACTTGTACTCTAATTTACATAATTAGATGAAAATTTCAGACATTCAATTGCAAAACCAACCATGGTGCACCATTGCATTTCCATCCTGGGTTTTATGTGCTTCACTAGGTCTTTGTTTGGGGCTGTTCCCTGGAAGATTGATCACTTTGCTTCCTGATAACTTTAATTTTAGTTATTTGATCAGTAAATGATACATACACTTAAACCGAATGCTTAGATTCAGTTAAACTGTCCAAAACTTACATCAGAATGTCATGATGTGGCCTAAAAAACAAGGCAACATCATAAGAAATAGGAAATGAATGTCATGTCATGAAACTTTTTGTTCCTTAATGTGTAATGAAAATCTCATGTCCACACAGACTTGGAAAACAACACGTTAACAATGTATGAATCTCACATAGGAATTCGTTGAGTTCATGATTTTGATTATCTTTCCCACCACTAATTTTGTTTTATCTGCAAACATTGTTTTTCAAGTAAGCAGCTTGGAAATGCCATTGGGACATTATTGTCGTGCTTTTCCCCATATATATGGACATATTATCTGATCTTTTTCTCCAGAAAGTGACGGAAAGTGTCTGCTCTTCATTGCATACAGGACTTTCTTTGTGAAATACTTGTCTTGGCACTTGAAAACTACAAGCCTGAATATGATTTTATAATTCCTTTTTCATATGCTTCAATCTATCATTTTCTTCGGAAAAGTAGCCATTTGGAGATAACTAAACGAAAATAATGGAAAGCTAGAGATCAAGTTGGATTTATTATACAGCCTGCAGTCCTTTAGAAATGTGCAATGGGGGCAACCTTTTAAGCCAGAAAGTCTGCATTCAATTATGCAATAATGGTGTAAAGCAAAGCAAAGAAAAGCCGAGTGGCCTAACTATTAAAGGCAGCAAAGCAGCAACCAACTTTTGAATCTTTTGGGTTTGCAGAATGATGAGTAGATGATCAAACAAAACAAAACAAAACACCATATCTCGATTTCTGTGCATCTTGATCTCAACGGGTTTGTTTTCTGTCCTAGCTGTAACCCACATCCTATTGAAAAGATGAATTCATCCTCCTTTTCTTTTACTTCCTTTCTTGCTGTGAGAGAGGATATGAAAGCCATGAAACTAAGAGAGGGGTGGACATGGCACAGATCCTAAAGGGTTTTGCCATCTCCCCTTCTATTTCAAACCTTTTTTTTTATCCAAAAAATCAGGGTAATCAGAGCCTGACAGCTAGATTTGAATTTAAGTAAACGAAGCATTCGAACCTTATCAACTCAATCAATCTTGTTGGTGATTTCAAACCATTTGTATCTTGATAAAACTACCCATGTCAAGAATTATCTGCTAAGGTAAAAATGCCATTTGAGATGATATGAAAGCCATGAAACTAAGAGAAGGGTGGACATGGCACAGATCCTAAAGAGTTTTGCCATCTCGCTTTCTATTTCAAACCAATTTTTTTTATCCCAAAAAGCTTAGGATCAGGGAAGATTTCTCAGGATCAGAACAGACTTGGCTGACAGTGAGAATTGAATCTAAGTAAGCAAAGCATTCGAACCTTACCAATTCAATCAATCATGTCGGTAATTTCAAACTATTACCCATGTCAAGAAAATGCCATTTGAGATGATTCAAGTAAACTAACTTTGTTGAGGACGGATGTACTTTGAGAGGTGAACACAACAGGTCACTATCTGTGGAACATGAAACATTGAAAGTTTGTAAGAACCGGCAGGAAATCAAAAGTGAAAAGCAGTCAACATATAGGGAAAAAAGTCATTCTTCTGTCAGGAGTTGGGAAATTTTTTATTATTGTAAAATAGTTTGCTTTTGATGACTTCTATGATTAGGCTTTAATAAATTTCTTGGGATCAATCCGCACAAAATTGTGCACCAAAAGCAATGATTTGGAATCTGTGATATCTTTCACCTTTAGACCAAATGCTGAATTTTCAAAGAATTTATCTATGTATGGCTAAATGTATACATGTATAACCTTATGCAATTGTCAAAGAATCATAACTAAACAGGAAAAGGAAGTGAAAGACATTGAACTTGTCATTGATGAACCTTTTTTCCCATGAGTAAGAGAGAAAATCCCCAAGATAAATCATGAACAATCGTTTGCATAATCCACCAGAATAAAACTGTGTACCAATCATTTATGGCACAAATTAAACACAAAAGGGTGTATTTGGACGTGTCCTTTTCGAAAGTATCGATCTATGATTAAATTTTTAAGAGTTCAATCAAAATAGCATTCAAATATGATGGAAAATCTCTCTTATCATGTGTCCAAATGAAGCATAAAAAATTTAATGAGATAAACTAATAAAAGGTTTAGCTCTCTGACCATATAAATTAATGGCTGTTTGCATTTTCCATTTGCTCAAAGTTAAGAATTGCTTGGTAGAGTTTCATCATGAAATTGCATTGGCAGTAATGGAGCCATACAAAGTTAGCTTCTTAACGTACATATGAATATGTGTAAGTTGTTTTTCTTTCATTATTGTATAAGTAGTTTTTCTTAAAGGAAGGAAAATAGGAATAAAGCAATACTACTCTAAAAGAACATAACAGATACTAATTTTTTATGCTCTTAAAGCTAAAAGTGAAAGCAAGTTTCACTCAAATATATGATTTAGAATTCAAGTGTTTGAAACACAAGATTCAAAATTTAGCACTCATATTCTTTATTGAAAAAAAAAAAACACTACTATAGTTAAATTCTAAATCCATCCAAAGTTGAGGTCTAGAATGTTGCATCAAATTAAAGGATGGTTGATTCAAGTGGGAAAGAAAATTTAAACCAATGGATGCTTGGTTCAAGTGATAAACAGAATGTGTTCTTCTTTTGATTGTCTAATTCAAATTTATAAAGAGAATATAAAAAGATAATTTTTTAATAAATTTGTTAATTCTAATATAAATCAATTTATTAGTTGAATCAATTTGAAAAAAAAAATATTAAACAAAACTTAAAAACCTTTTACTGCTAAAAAAATGTTGCATATATTGTAAAGTTGGAAAGTGCCATTAGGAGAAAGATAAGGTTGCGAAGAAGAAAAAATAGTAGAAGGAAAGGAAAGAAATCACAAACCAGAAGATATAATTTTATAAGTTAACAATGTTCCCCTCAAGAAGGGTCAGATACTTTGTCAAAAGAAAATTTCCAAGTGAGTTGGGCAGTTTTAACACATAAAAGAAAATGAAATGTACCAAAAATGCAAAGATAATCATTGATTGCACAAGGCTCAATGTCTCAAGATTCAAGAAGAAAACTATACATATGCACTTTCAGGAACCCCCACCTACCATCTTCATGCTATAATGTATTGCCCCCTCCACCTAAAGTAACAGAACATACCATAAAAAGTAAAACACCTTCCAATTTCTCTCAAAAAAAAAAAAAAGAAAAAAAACTTTGGAGAGAAACTAGAGCTCCATTTCCATTGCTCTAAAAGAGTAAGACAAATTATCAGTGGTATACCCTTAAAAGTAAAAAAGCACAGAAAAGGAAGGTAGCTCAGACCTTCCATGGCAAGTGGCAACTTCAAACTCTAAGCAAATAAATACTAAGTTCAGGAGCTCCATTGCTATCAGGATTCATCATATAGAAAGCTTCAGAATCTCTGGACCCAACAATTCTTTCGAACTTAGCCCTCATATACATAAGTTCACCATCAGCACCAGCCTCATCTCCACTCCCTGGCAAAACCCCTGCTCCCATGGAAATTGGTTCCACAGCTTTCAGAATCTTCCATTCTTTAGCACCACATTCCCTCCTTGTTGCAAAACCACATTTCTTTCCATTGCAATAAGTTCTCCATACAGGCTCTTCCAGTAATCTCACAGCTCTTTTCTCTTCTTCTTTCTCTTTATCACACTCCAGAGCAATCCTGACCAACTCGGACGCCATTTCTCGAACCAATCCACTAATTGGTGTAGCAAGTTCAACAAGGAAAGCTGGTGGGGAATTGGGATCTTTCTGAAAAGCAAAGTGAACATGGCCACGCCTATAACCAAAAAGAGTGCCTACCACTCGGTGTCCAAGACCAAAGGGCAGGTTTGAACGGTTCTTTCCAAAAGCTGTAAGAACAGATCGAAGCCTGGCAACGGCAACTGCTGGAAGCTTCTTCCTTGGTGTTGGCATAGCAATATGGGCCTTGAGATTTTCCTTCTTGTCTTCTTCATTGGTGTTTGAAGAGGAGTTGAAGGTTGGAGCTTCATCATCATCTTCCGTTCCAACCTTTTTAGTCCAGTGGAAGTGTCTTTTGGAGGAGCTGTCTTGATGGGTTCTTGCCATAACTGGCTAGTTGTGAAGGGAGAAACAAAATTAAGAGGGGGGAGGATAACTCTCTTAAAGATGGTGCGAAGAGAGAGTAAGAAATTCTGGTTTCTTATTACTGATTTGTGGGGCTTCCCATTCAATTCTTTGGTGTACTGCAAGAGAATCCTGACAAAAGAAACATACGCTGCCCCACAAGCTGCTTGAGGCAGCGGAGAGAGAAAGAGATTGTCAATCGGACCATAATTTTGAACATGTAATAAAAAATATAAAAAAAATCCATATAAATTTAATAAGAATCTGAGGGGACAATATGTGTGTTATTTCACTTTCTTGTGGGGTAGAGAGAGAAGGATTTTGCTTGACTGACTCTTTTGACTTGAATCCAAAAGCAGCAAAGGGGATGGCAGACAAAGCCACAAAGCAGAACCGATGCCATAAGCAGCGTCACAAGCCACAAGCCACAAGCCAAAAGCCACAGCACATCGTTCATTTGTTCGAAAGCCCACTGTCTTGTAGCGAAAACGAGCACCTGGGCTATGTTGGCCTCGGCACCTGAAGAGTGAATTCTCATCCCCTAGCGTTGGGTGAATAGTCAACAACAATCACCAACCAAGGAACTGACACCTCATTGTCTGTGGGACCTCACAAACATTACCAGTTTTGAATGTCTTGACAGGAATTGACACGTCACTATCTTGGTGGGCCACTCTACCCAAGTATATATCCTACATGACTTCATTTTGCAGTTGGGGTTTTGGAATTCGTACTCAGAACAGCAATCAGGGCACGGTTGCAGTCTTACAGATATTTCAAGTCAAATACTACTACGATTATATTCACAAAGTAAGTACAAATCAAGGTTTGGGCATAGATGGAATCGAACAAACTCTCACTAATTACATTAAGTTACAGATATCCACATAGGCGAGTGCACTAACCAATGGCCTTTTGTACATAATATATGGGATTAGAACTTGGAAACAAGAATGGAAGAGTCAAGGATGCTTGCCTATGGTAAAAGAAAACAAGTCTAAATGGTTAGCTCTCTAAACTTGGTTCAGCATCTGGTTGCTTGGGGGCAACAGCCCCACCGTTCATTCTCGCGCGTGCCTCAGCAAACATTCTCTGCTGCTCAGCTACTGCTTCTTCCTCAGTCATTTCTGCTCCATTGCTCCATTTGCCGCCTTTCAAAGAGTCCTGCTGAAATGCATTTTAAGAATACTATCAGTGAATCTGTTGGGATATGCTTCTGTTACCGAATCAAATTCAAAATGTAGTATTGAATTTGTATTGTTTTGATAAATCGGTTATATGGCCAAAAGAATTAATAAAATACAAGATTCCAACAGAAAGGAGTAGCACAGGATTACCAATTTCTTGGTCAATCACCAGGAAAAAAACTATATGCCTATAGTAATGCAATTTTGTGGAAAAAAAGGTCAATGAAAAGAAAGTGAAGGGGGAGAGAGATAAAATGAGTTGGGAAATCTCGTTTTCAAGAAACTACAATTCAGTTTCCGGAAGATTAACATGCGGAATGCTAAATGCAAAGAAGGAGCAAGAAGACAAACAATTACCATGGTCTCGATCTTGTGTTGCTCATATGCAGCATATACCTCTTCAATGTACTCTCCAAACCCAAGAACCTGAAAAATCACGTGCATATATGATAATCTTGTCGTGAAATCACATGTAAGTCTTTTCAGCATTCTTAAAAATAAAACATGGAACCATTAGAAGAAATGTAAGGCAGTAGAGCGCACATTCGTAACCAATGTCAAAAAATGGATAACCGTTAGCATCAGAAATCTCCAGTGCTTAAAAGCTACCCCTACTACTTCACAGAGTAGTGAGGAAAAAGAACCATGTAGAAGAACATATTTAAGACCCTATCTTTAAAATGGAAAGAGGGCTAGTAAAGGCATATCTTGACATGCCCATAAAAGTATCCTTAGACACTTGATAGCTGGATTAAATAAAGATAATATATCCACATGGTGCTTGAGTTCTTACTTTAAAAGTGGTTGTTTAAAATTCTGACTGTATTTACTTAAGATCGGAAGCAGGCTAAGTGCCCAGAAGCATAAAAACACTGCTGGACCATAACAGCATATGCGAAGGTCTTATTCAAGGCATTACTTTTTCAATCCTAGTAAAGCAAAGAGAAGTAGACAAACAAAATGAAAACACATAAATAACCCAATTAAAGCGTGAAAGTAGGTTGATGAAAGACCAACCTCTAAAGCCTTGAGTACATGCTCAGGTGCTATTGTTCGTTTCTCCACTCTATTACAAACTTCATTGGACTCTGATGAAATAAGATTAATAAACTCTGCAAGAGGATTAAAGTTTTAATCAATTATAAGAAATATGAAGTTAAACCATCAATTACATTCTAGTTAGAGAAAGTAAAAATCCAATGATGTAAAAAATTGCAAGGGAATATAGATGGTCGATAAACTAGCCAAACAACATTCTACCAAACAAAAATTTTCCACCCAAATCTTCAATGACACAACAAATACTGGGAGTATAACCATATGAGACCAATTACCAATTATACGAATCTCAACTCAGGTTTAAAAACCACTTAAAAATCCAAAATAATAGATACCATATTCCTATTTCACACATTTTTGAAAAGCATATCATCCATCTTATTATTCTAACATTTTAATTAAAATAATTGGAGTAGAGAGTTAATTGCAGCTCATCCATGGGAGTCGTAAAACCAAACAGAAAGGTGGAAAGAAATCTTTCTCCTAGCAAAATAGATCATTTAGAGTTCAAGGTATACCAAAGTAACAAAAGGCATTCATGGTCAAAGAAAGGGGAGCTTTAAAAACTCTTGGCAGTAAGTGACAGAAAGAAGTCAGGCATCAAGCATTTTAGTCAAGCTAGTCAAAATAACTAACACAAACGTCAACAACTCAGCTATATAAAAATCACATAAAGAAATTTGACAAGTCAACAATCAAAACAACATGTGGAGGACATAGAGACCGAGTGGAAGTGTGTAATATTAAATTCATAATGACAGAAAAGAGAAGATTGAGCTTATTATCTCACCTACACAACACTCAATCAAAAGATCTTGAGCATCTCTTGCAACACGTACATCTGGGGGTAACATCTCCTTTATAATTTTGGTCATAGTTGCTGCAAAAAGGGAAAAAAATATTTGCATCACAAAGAAATTAAACAAATTGAAATTAAACCACTGCTAGATTATTTAGGAGAAAAGCCATGAGCACACAATGATATGGAAATTTCTTTACTACAATTTGCATGCACAAGACGAAGGGTTTTGGTAGTTCAACATAAAAATTTGATAACCCCCTTCTCTTTATACCAATGAAAAGCAAAAGAAAAACAGTGTCAAAAGTGAAGCATGTAAAGTGTTTAAAATATTACAGCCTGATTATTAGCTCCTAAACTCCATTTCACCATGTTACAAAAGTTTATCAGCTAAAGCAAAGACATCAACTACTCTGACTACAATTGTCAAAACACTTCAACCCTTTCTCAACTGAATGATGCCCACTGAAATCAATTCCTTTCCAAAACAAACTTAATCATCCATCCTCAAAGCTGTCGGAGTCCTCAACCAGCAGCATGAATCTCTCACATGGAAGCTCTTGACCAGAACCTCTTTTGAAGTTTAAAAACAAAATATATAACAATCAACAAACATTTTTTAAAAACTGTAGTCAGACAAAGCATTCAGATAGACAACTCCTCCTGAAAAGCCCAAAATTTTCTCACAATAGAAAATTAGTCAAATATAAAACTAAGTTTGAACACAAATTTATCCTTCACAAAATGAAGGACGCCCTACACAAGTATGCAAGCACGGTTTGGGGAGGGATTTTTTTTTCTTTACCTATTTCATTTTAACAAGGAAATTATCTACTCCATCCGACTAGTTCCGGGTTCGAGTCCCGGGCAACCCATTATTATATTATTATCATATCGAAACCATATCCCTAATATAATATAAAAATCATATTGATATATATATATCATATGTATGTATATATGTATATATATATATATATATATATCATATTTATAGCAATCCGTATTTTCTTTTTGTAACTCATGACATTTTCTCATATTCATCTCATCATACCCGCCTAATCTCATCGAATTGAATTTTCTGCGGACTTTCACCCTTTGGTAGCATACTTTGGGGAAAAAAAAAGCTTTAAATGGCAACTTATTAAGTTATTTGCTAATTCAAAGCATAAGTTGAAGAGAAAATCCAAAACCCTAAATTGAGCAACAAAAGTGTTAAGATTTATCATTATTAGCTAATTTTATAGCAGAAAAAAGAAGTAGCAAATTCAAGTCTTAAAATTCACAAATTTAGAACACAAGAAAATCAAATAAACGAAAAGGAGAGAAAATTTTAGATATAATCAATTGAACGAACGATTAAAACATAAATAAAACGGAAATTAGGCCCAAAAAACTGAGGAAATAAAAAATTACCTTTGGGAAGCGAAGCGTCCTCCTTCGACTTGCCTACGATATCCATTGGCTCCATCTTTTAATTCTTCAAAGCAAAAATAAAAAATCCAAATCCAAAAGCGAATAAACAGATCTAAAACGTGCGAGTGAGGAAATCGGGGGGGGGGGGGGGGGTGGACTCACCGAGTTACTGAGTCAAACGTTGGAGGGGTATATTACGGACGGAAAAACACTAAACGAGTCAAGCGATTCGTGATCCGAGTCGAGGAGGAGATCAAGAGGAAGGACATGGTTGATTTATTGAGTTATCAGAGAAGTTCATGGCGCTTCACGATAAGAGAGGGAGCTCTCGATCGCAGTCGATTAGGGCAAAAAAAAAAAAAAACAGACATTCAGGTGGTGCTGTTAAAACGCACGCGCTTAGTCTAATCGCCTTAAAGATACGCGCAAAAAGAGCATCTGGTGGTTGGTGCGTGCTTCACACTTAGTTTTTTAGCGCGTGCAGGATCGTGACCTTCACTAACCCTTTAATTTTTTTTCCCTTGTTTTGTTCGTTTTTGATCGACGGGGAAAATAAACTTTGTTTATATAGGTGTTCGACAAAAATGCCAATTAAGGCAAGAAATAAGAGAGGACAGATGAATCTAGTGACGACTGACGAGTAATTGCGCATAAAGACAAAAATTAACAAAGCCAATCCTTACTCGTTAAAACCAACCCAAAAAAGTGACGTAAGCCCTTGGACTTGGATCAAATACAAGGGCCTTGGGTTTTGAGGAACGACATCTTTCAGGCTGAGCCCAAGATTCAAGGCACTCCTTCCCATAGGTTACTGTGAAGATTATGATATAATTAATAAATATGATGATTTATGTTTTTTATCATATAAAAAATTAAAATTTATATATTTATATTATATTTTATATAAAAATTATGTATCATAATTCATATCAATACAAAAATATAAAAGATATTTTTTTATTTTATTAAACTCATATATAATTATTGTTATAATTTTAAATTATATTATTTTTATATTTTATTTTTATATCATATTCATATCGTGTCATTATGTAATATTTTATATTATCATATATAACTAAAAGAGTAAAATTATTTAGAAAATATCAAATTATAAGATTAATCATATACTTATATAAAATTTGAACCCTAATCCTTATATAATAATTTAAAAAAATTAAATTTTTATACAAATTTTTATACGATTAATCATATACTTATATAATGTTACTAAATTTTCATTAAATTGACTAACATAACCGTTGACCATGATAACAAAATATTAATTATAATAATGTGTCCAAATGAACAATTTTAATTGATTTTTTGTGTCAGATATGAATTTTAATTTGTCACGAATATATACTTGCTCACATAAATGTTTGAAATTAAAAAAAAAAATCAAACTTTTATTAAAACCCAAATAAATATGTAAATAAAAAATCATTTATAAAATTCTTACTAGATGATATTCCCCGAATCCTTTCAATCCTTTCTTTTTCCAAATCATGAAAAGTTAGATAATGCATGGGTTGATTCACAGATTAATCCAGAAGAAAAATAAAAGACTGAATAACAAAATGATTAATAACCTAACATAAACACAAATATTATTGGTTATGATGGCAAAGAAATGCCTAGAAATTCCGTGGCTGACTTTGCCATTGCAGAAGAAAATTCATTGAAGCTAATGACACCATCTCCATCAGCATCAGCCTCTTTGATCATCTCCGTTAGCTCTCTATATGTCAATGGCTGCCCCATTTTGGCCGTGCAGCCAGCTAGCTCCGCCGCGGTGATGTAGCCATTGCCATCACGATCAAACAACTGAAAAACCTCCATGAGTACGTCCTGGTTTACCAATATCTCTTCATTCATGTCAGGCAATATGGCATTGGCTAGTTCATCAAATTCCACCGTTCCATTGCCATTAGAGTCCATGTTGGCTAACAGGACATGGATTTGATCACCCGATGGCTTGAGTCCTATCGACCTTAGCAGCGCCGCCAGCTCTAGAATCGTCAGGCTGCCATCCGAATCCATGTCAAACCTTGCGAAAATTTCCTTCATTTGATCCAGTTGATCCTCTCCTAATGCCACCATTTTTCTATGCACTGTTTCCTAGCACATTAACCAAAATACACTACAAAACCAAACAAAAAATTAATCTTAATGTCTTAATGAAGGAACATTGATCATGACAATGGAGGGAGAAGAAGCTATGGAAGAAATGTTTGGGTTTTTCATTTTGGGAGAGGATGATGTGTTGATTTCTTTGGTTAATTTTGTTATAAGTGTGAGGTTTAAATTTGATTTTCGGGGTGGCATTAAAAATAGAAACCTTACCATCGGTGGATTTAGTTTTGCTCTTTTGTTACATACATGGTTAAGAAAAAAAATTTTTGTCGCAGAGATCTGTGCTTCGTTTGTTGAGACAATGACAAATGGTTTTATTTGAGATTTTTTAAAAACCGTTTTAATAAAAAAAAATTTTTTTATATCAAAAAATTATCTATCAAGTTTGGAATAGATTTTCAATGATAGATTGGATCGTATCAATATTTAATAATTTGAAATTTTAATATTTATAATTTTTTTATTTTCATATTCTACAAGAATACAATATCTTTAAAAAAAATTAACAATGTAATTTTTTTATGTAGTGTAAATTTCTAATCATATGAAAATAAAATATTTTTCAATTCATGATTTGGTTAACTGCAGTTGTTAGTGTTGAGTATCCTAATAAGACACGTCATTATCCTAATTTGTTATCATGGCTTTTCAAATGCTCCTTCCCTTCTCACGTTGGCCCACTTCACTCCAATGATTAACATCGTAAATCCATGAAAGCCTCTCTCATTTTTTTTACACTGAAAAAAATCGTAAATCCACCATAAAAAAAAAAAAAAAAAAAAACAGTTTCTATAACAAAAAACGAAGTCAGTGTTCATCTGTACGGCAACGGCGCACTGCATTTGAATTTTTTTTCTGGTTCAGCTCTCTTTTTTTTTTTTTTAATGATATTTTGTAGATTTGTATTTATTCAATAAATACATTGGATTTTTTTTTAAATTTTCGTTGAATTTGTTTAGATCTGTTGAATTTGAACTCTCTTTTTTTTTTTTTTGGTCTGCGAGAAAGGAAAATTTTAGTAAAGACACTGGAGGCAGCGGTTCATCGATCTCTTCCTGGGAATTTTGTTGTGAGAATAACACAAATACATGAATCGATCGATAAACCTCTGCATCCAGCGCCTTAACTCTCTCTTTAATTTTTTTTTTTAGAAAAAAAAAAGGTGTTTTTTTCAGTTTTATAATAATTATTAAAAATTTCTCTGTTCGTTGGTTGATGAGATATTTTAAACAAAATTTTTTTAGTTTTATGATAGTTCTTAAAATATTTTTTCTTTTAGCCTAAACCGTTCCAATAAAAGTTCAATAATCATTTAAATTCTTATCATTTTATTATAATCAACGAAAATTAGTTAACTATTAACATTGATTTTCATCTACTCAAGGGCTCAATTGAGATAAAAATAAATGTTTAAGGGCTGATTTGAAATAGAAAACTTAGGATTTAATTGATTGTAATAAAATGTTGAGTTTAAATGATTATTGAATTTTTGTTCGAGATTTTTTTTTTTTGACCTTTTGCCATTTTTTAAGATGTTACTAATAATTGATGGCGTAATCTTAGGTGGTTGCAGTGAAGCAGAAGGGGCTTCCTTCTTGAGTATCAGTTGTGGACTCAACCTGGTTACTGATTATTTTTCAAATAAAGATTACAAATGTTCAGTCACTGTTTTTAAGTTGTTCTTATTCTCAAAGCTGTTTTATGTTTGTTGTTTTTATTTATGTGTTGGTAGGAAGTAAATTGATGGTGAATGAGCTCCTTGCCTTTTGATTTCCTTGTTAATTGGTAATTTGTTTCTAAAATAATTTTCTTGATTATGTTAATTTTAACATTGGCTTGGGATTTCCCTTCTTTTATACCCCTTAATGAAATTCATTTACGTTTTCAGTGATTACTTGTTATGGAAATTAATGAATAATGTTCTTGTTCTTGGTCAGTTGTTGTTTCCAGATTATGATTGTTCATATGTGGTAAATGTAGAGTTCAAAACTGGGCATGGATTCATGTTTTCTTTTGATATTATAATGTTTTGTTAGTATTTATGTTGAACAAGGTTCAACCTTTCAAACACTTGCAGTTTCCTGTTGTTTTGTTTTCTGCTTGAATTTGTATCAGTAATCCATAATGCTTTTCGGCATGTCATTTATTGTTAAGTTCAAGATGGAAATCAATGGTGCTTTCCCCTTGGATGTTTTGCCATTTGCTGCAATGATTGATTGATTGTTCATTTTACCTACATTCATCGTGGTTTTTCGGATTAGCAATGTTTAGATAATGAGTTGGTGTTTGCTGTTCTGAAAGTTCATAATGCTGAAAGAATTCTGTTGATGACTGAAGTTTCTATGACATGAGATTCTGTCCATGGTCCCAATGCCGGTAAGACTCCCATGCAGTTCCTTCTAGGTTACGGCCTTACAGGTATTTGAAGATTGCTCATTTTAACACAAGAACATGTATTTTTGCAGTTGTGGAACTTTACATGGTGGTAATAATAGGAACTAAGTTGCAGCCATTTATGCGCCATTTTCCTTGAGCAGGTAAGCAAAAGTTTCTTTCTTTAAAGGTTACATATTCTGGAATGAAGTTTCCAAGTGGGAGGACATACCTTCTCATTGCTGCTGAAAGTGAGGGAAAATTACAATTACAGGTACCAAGTTGTGAAAGAATTTGCTATTTTCATGTGAACAAATGGAATCTGGTATCAAATCCCATTTTTCCCTAGTCTTCTGGTGACTAGTGGCACCAAGAACCAACCAAAAAGTTTGGTTATGGGAGCATAAATATGAGCTCCAAAAATTGAAAGAATCCTAGGGAACAAAAGGCAGCTGAGGATATTCTATTCTGTTGTTTGTTTGTATCATATTCTTTGTTGTTAGGTTGAAAATTGTTGCACCCATTGTACTTGATATTTTCCTGTCATTCTAATGGAAAAAGAAAAGTTTTTTTTCTTTAAGCTGTCTATAGGGTGTGACTGATTCCTTTGTTTTACTATTTTCTTATTCTCCCTTTTTTGTTTGGTCTGGTTGTGGGGTAAAGGAAATGGGCTCTTGATTCATTTTCCAAATGCCATTTGTCTAAGCTTGAGTTTGGGACTTTGTTGCGCGCCTGCCTTTCGTGATTGGACCATTGGGCCACAATGGCCCTTGGTCCGCAAATGTTGTTTTCTATTGTTTGTTTGGGTATTAAAGAGAAACTACCACGTGAGGACTTCCATCTTCCACGCAACTTTGTTTTGTTGGCAATTCTTGGTTACTGTATATAGGATTTGACTTCTTGAGGCAGATGAGATCTCATTTGATCCGAAACAAAGGCTGTAGAAAACTGGTATCCTGGTTTTAAGAACTGTAAAACAAAATGGTATCCCAGGATCAAAATTCAACTGACATTGAACGTGACTATAATGCAATTCCAAATGGATTCAGGGCGCTGGGAGCTGGCTGATGGCCGCTACAAATGTCGTGACTTGATTAGGTGTACATTCCTCCAATGAAAATGACTGCAAATTGGCATTATTCTTGCGACTATGCTAGCTGTATAGCTTCCCCAATGAACTGAGCAAAGATGAGAAAGAATTTTTTTTCAACCTATCTTGGGTTGAGTTCGGTGATGAACTTCTATTAAAATCATCTCAATACGATCTGTAATCATTATTTTTTAAGTTATCGACTCATTATTTAAAAAATTAAGTAACTTATTTATTTTTAAATTTTTCTTAAAAAAAAAGTTTTTTTTATCATAATATCAAAATGTTTCTTTGCAATGTGCTGTTACCTTGTTCAAGATGAATTACAAGATCATACCAAAACCATATGATGATTTTTGGCAAGCCATTTACATTTACATTTTACATGCATGAATAATGTATCATATATAAAGATGAGTGTAAGGCAGTCATTTGTTATGAAAAGATACATGTATTGTTTGGTAATTCAGCAACAGCAACTAGCATGGGGTGCAACCTGGCCGCTTTTGCATTGTGCAGCCATTTCAATTTTTCCTCCAAACATGTTCACTTCCAACATTGATAATTCTTGAAAACAGCTAGTATAATAAGGGTTGTGTAATACTAATTGTTGGTGTCGAGCTATGGGTGAAATCTTGAAATAGCAAAAGAGAGAGAGGGAAGAAGAGGAAGTATGGAAAAATATAAAGAAAAAGTCAGAAGAAAAGTCAAATGACTAGATAATATCTAGAGGATGCGGAAGGTAAAAAGATTTAAAGAGTGAACGATGACGTGACTGTGATTGAAACATATTAATTTGATATATCAGATAAATTCAAATTTTAAAATATTTTTAATTATTTGTTGACAATTTTGAACGAGAGAGAATAGTTAAAATGTTCTTTCAATCTAAAATTACCCCTAATACTAATTTTCTCCAAGTAGTCCTAAGCATATATATGCATATGATAAGGGTTGTGTAATATTAATTGTCAAAAATCCATGAATCAAATGAATCAATCAAACTAGTAAATTTAGTTCAACATGAATTCGGTTTAAAAAAAAAAAATGGATTTAGATTCTGATTAAATTTTAAAATTTTAAAATATTATGCATTACCTAAAATAATTGAATCGTTTGATTCAATCCTATCCGCTTCACCCCTATTACAACATGACAATCTTCTTTCAAACAAGGCAATCTTCAACTGATTTGGATGAAGGGAAAACAAAAAAGAAACCCTTGAGATTCAAGTTTTTAGGCATCTTCACAATTTTTTTCCTCTGCTCCTCCTTGATCTAAAGAAGTACAAAAGGAAGGAGCTACAACAACAGAAGAATAAACCTTAGAACTGCCGAGTGAGAGCTGGCAATGCTTGTTATTACTACCCTCATCATGATCTGAAGTTGAAGTACAAAATATAGTTTCTTCAACAAGTGTATCAAAATAGATAGGATCGACTTCATTTCCTGTATTTTGATTTATCCAAGGAACTCCATTAATGGGTTTGAGAGATGTTGATCTTGCATGGTTCTTCATAATTATAAGCTGAAGAAGTTTATAAAGCCTCGGATTCTTTCCAAGTAGATTGCAGTTTTCTTCATAGGTATTCGTTACCCCATGATACTGAAAGTTAGTCTTTGCATTCGTTCCTCGCAAAAGCCTGGCTGCGCTATCATAAGCCAAGGCAGCATCTTCTGCTCCATCAAAAGTCCCTAGCCATAGCCTCAGCTTCCGCAAAGAGTCCTTGATCTCAGCTACCCATCTACCTGACGGTCTTTGTCTCACCCCAAGGTATCTTCTTCCATTCTTGTTGTTTCCTCTTTTTGTAAGCTTCTTGCTTCTTTTCTCACCATCTTCATGAAAGCTTTCTGTTTCAAGTACTGGTATTGAGTTATGGTTTTTGCAAGGGCTTGATCAGATTGACACGGCATAGTTCTTGAGCTATCCATACTGTCCATGACAGAAGGAGAAAGGGCTAGGGCTTAGCAAAAGAGAGTAGGAATTAATGGCATGTTGATTGTCTGTTTGATATTTGTGATAAAAAAACACTATAAATAATGAGCAAAAGTACAAGTACTGAAAACACTAGATTCCTACAATCATCGCTGAATAACCAAAGCAGCCTCTATTTGAATTAGTTTAGCAGGATGACAGATAGAGAATTTGTTGATAATTATTAAGTAAACATGTATAATTTTGACTGCTGCTTGGACTTTGGAGGGACATGAATGAATGGTATATTTGGCATCATCAACTTGTAAGATTGTTGGCATCCTTCTGGACTTATATATTGGGTAGATTTGAATTAGATATATAAATAAATCTCATGATTAGGACTACATTAGAAAGAAACAACTTTAGCAGATCAATATTATACACAATTGGACAAAGAATAAAACCCTGAAAGAAAATGGGAAAACCATCATTATCATTTTCATGAATCATATGGGGCAATGACAGTTTGATTACAGTAAAGCTAGGGTTAGTTACATATATATGTGATGCACCTTTCTAAACTCAATAATGTCTTCGTTCTAAAATTCTTGGAATTTTTGAGGTTATTTACTTAGCCAGTTCATGTCTATTAAATGGAAAATGATCGCATCCATTAGCATGAAGGAAAGGGTGGAAAGGGTTCGGAGGGTTGTCTTGAAGAGACAGATAGATCTCTTGAATAGAGCACCTATTTCAAGGAAATCTCTCGTTCTAGCAAATGGTGCCAACTAATTTGAGAAGGTTAAATATCGAAACTGATTTCTAAAATTAAAATTTTAATATTTTATCAATAGATCATATCATTATTAGCATTCAGTGATAACGTTCGTTAATTCTCTGTTAATCACATCAAGTTTTATCTTGTTGGTTTTATATGTCATCTACTACGGTTTCGCTTCCAATAACAGTAATTCTTTAACTACAATGACAATGATATGATGTCTGATCTCTCTCTCAAAGATAATACAACAACAATACATTAAAATTTATTTTTCAAACTTTAGAGTCGATTATATAAAAAATCAAATAAAAAAATCAAGATAGATTGTAATTTGAATTTTATCGAAAATAATAACAACAATATTATTAGAAACTCCAACTAAGGTGAGAATTTGATGTGGGAGTAAAACTCCAAAAAGCCAAAGAACTGACATAGGCAAATGTGTTGAAGCAGATTTTAATACCCATTGGCAGCATACATTCAACAAAACAAAACTCAACACCTCAAAAGAGCCAAGAACCAAAACATACCCACTTTGGTACCTCAAACTAAAAACTAATGTTTGGGATTTTGTCTGATAATGGATTGGCTTTGCTTTTAGTCTTAAAGAACATGGCATATGATCCTATCATGCGCTTAGATATAAGTTAGTTTCAAAGCCCAATATTTGGGCTCCAGAACCTAAACAAGAACCCAATAAACCATATGAAGGCCGAAGGTCCATATGATTAGTGTGTTAAGGGTAGATTAGTAATTTAAAAAACTAAATGGGTGTTTTCATAACTTTCTCCATTGACATGGACCGTTTGATTTTTGGTTACTTTCCCATATGCTTCCTTCTCTAATCTCCCTCTTCCTACAGAAAAGAAACCATTGAGAAGATGTTCAAAAACACCTTTCAGTCAGGGTTTCTCTCCATTTTATACAGCCTCGGGTACCCTTTAATGCTTTCACTTTGTTTTCCTTTCTGGGTTTTCTTTGGGGTTTTTTTTCAACTTTTTTTGTTTTTTGTTTTTTTTTTTTTACAGGAGCAAACCTCTGCAAATCTGGGATAAAGAAGGTCAGTGAAATTATATAGAAAGAACCCATTTTTCTTCACCTTTAATTGAAAAGATTTAGGCTTTAGCTGAATTGTTAGCTTTGCCATTACAGTTTTGTTGTTGGGATTTGTTTTACAGTTGTAAATGGGCATGTAAAGCGACCCCATGATGATGATATACAATCGAATGTATTGGAAATAATTGGATCGAATATTCAATCCACCTATATCACTTGCCCTGCTGACCTTGCTGCTACGCTTGGTATTAAGCTTCCGTTCTTGGTTATGATTGTTAAGAACTTGAAGAAATATTTCACTTTTGAGATTCAAATTCTTGATGATAAGAATGTACGGCGTCGTTTCCGTGCTTCTAACTTTCAAGTATGTAATTCTGTTAATTTTTCTAATGCTATTTGGATTCTTAGATTAGATATAATAATTTAGACGTATTTAGATAGGTGGATTGGAAGATATGCTATTTGCTGCAACACTTTTGTCCTGACTATTTGTTGTAGTTGACGTGGCAATGATTTATTGGTCTATGTGTAACTCTTAACATTCTAGTAATGAATTTAAAGACCACCCATGAATTAGTAGGCTTCATTATTGAAATTTATTTTGAGAGTGCAAATAGTTGGGACAAATTTGATGGGGGCAAGTAGCATTACTGGGTAGATTATGCTGTTATTCTATCAATATTCGCCCTAGTTTTAGCGAAATATATGCCCGTTTTCTGTTACGAATTAGGAAATTGGTACATGATGATGAATAGAGAGTTGGGCGTGTAGATCTTTTCAATATATGCTCTCTTTCTATTGGTATGCATATGGCTCGGAGAATTATCTTGTTTAGATCCAATCGATGTTTTCCCTATTTGTATCAATAATGTGATACCAAAATGTGGCCTCTTTCTATTAATATTGAATTTGGTCAGGAATATGTATATATATATATATATATATGATTATGAACAAAGAGTCTGATGTTTAGAAGCCATTAGCATGTGCCCTCTTCTATCATTCTAACAGGTATATATGGTGTTGGGATGAAAAAAGAAAATGGTGTTAATATTCTGTTGATGTGTGCCCGTCTACTCTTGCTGAGTTGGAAATTATTTGTGTTTTTTCCTATCATTTTTCTTCATCCTGGGGGAGTTTCCTAACATAATGAAGGAAGGATGGATCATGGGTGGAGACATTGCATTTACCAAAACCAGACGGCTGTTTTTTCTTTCTTGCCATGGAGTGTAAATTCCATGATGACTTGATAGATCTTTGGTTAATGTAGTATTGACTGGTAAACATCATTCGTGGTACTGCTTCTGTATCATAGGATTTGGTGGGTGAAGCTACCCTTTGGAGCTCAATCCCTTAAAAATCTGCTTTCTCATTTAAGTACTATAATTAAAGCTATTGTTTTTCACTCAATTTCTATGTATATTCACTGAAAAACATATATTGCAGATTGCTGTTGTGAATTACATGCTATTTCAACTTTATTTGAATTTCTAGGCTGTCACTCGAGTAAAGCCATATATATGCACTATGCCATTGAAATTGGATGAGGGTTGGAATCAAATTCAGTTGAATTTGGCTGATTATACCCGGAGGGCCTATGGCACCAACTATGTTGAGACTTTACGTGTTCAGGTCCATGCAAATTGCCGTCTTCGTAGGATATATTTCTCTGATCGCTTGTACTCCGAAGAGGAACTCCCACCAGAATTTAAACTATACCTTCCAATGCAGGTCAGAATGACACGTGTTTTTCATCAACTTTAGGCTCATTTGCATGTTATCAGTATCTTCAATAACAATGTCTATCCCTTCTCTGTATTGCAGAAAGCATGAAAATTTTCACCGGAGCACTTTGAAGCCATTATTTCCAACTTTCTATGCTTCGAGATTTCAAAATGTTTTACCATTCTGTATTAGTCAACAGTTTAGTCTGGTATGCTTGGTTGTTATAATAGTAATAGAATTTGCACTTCACAATAGTGTATTTTTAATTATCTCAACTGATTTGCAACTCAAAATGCAGTTCGGATCCAAATTAGAACACAAAAGGACCCTTTTTAGCCTTCTTGTTGGATTCCTGATGAAGTAATTCATGTTGGATATTTCATTAACAGCTGAAGAAGCTCTGTTATCTGTGCCGGTTAATTCTCCGGCATTGTTCATGTAAAAAGATGAATTAGTTGAAATGCAGACACAAGTTTGCTTAAATGAACATGAAAAAACAAAAAAAATACTATAAGTTGGAGATTGAGGTTTTGTTTAAGTGGTATAGGGAGTGATATGTTTCTTCGTGCATGAAACAATGAATTGGACGATCCAGCTTTTGAATCAGACACAAAGAAATGATGACTTTTCCCAGTACTGCCAAATTTCTTCCTTTGTTTTTGTTGTTTTGTTCTCTGCAAGAAAAACTAAAATGATTTGAATCATTTGTCTAAAATCTAAATCCTGTCTGTAACATCGGAAAAAGGCAAAAATTTTCCTTAAAACAAACAAGCATTTCTAAACCCATTCTGAAGAAGCATTCTGTCAATTTCTTAGTGGTTATAAATAGTAAAAATGTAAGATAAACCAGTCAAAGTGGATGCCATGCCATGTTGGAGAGTTGCTGGTGGCTGCAATGAAATCTTTGCAATGTCACGAAGGACATGATGGGCCCAACTACAAAGAATCATTGAATTGGCCACCGTTTTCCCCGGCAAGTTTCAACCTTCCATTTCTCATCACAATCTTCAGACACCTCATTAACCATACATTCAGCTGCCTGTCTGCCTCAGCCTCACCAAAGATCAACTTAACCAACACTACCTGCGTGCCTCTCTCACATTCAAAGGTGGCAAACACAAATGGCAGTGCAGTTGGCAACCCGAGTTTCAGCCACTGCAAGACATTCTCTTCCTCCCCCTTCTTCTCCTTCACCATCAGTAGCATCATCCAGAACCACAAACAAAGCTTCTTTAAAAACCCAAGTTAAACCCATCTGTCTATCACTGCCAAAAGCAACAACTCTCTCTTTATTGGCTTTATTTTCTCCTCCCCATGAGGCCAAAGCTGTCAGTCTTAGCAAAGAACAGATTGTCTCATCTCTCTCTGAAGTAAGAAAGTCAAAAGTAATAGAGAAGCCAAAGTAGTTTCCCCCTTTTTCCCCATAATTCTGTTGATACCCATTTCTTAAATAACTGTCAAAACCATAATAAAACTGCTGCCAAAATAGGAATCGAGCAATATGAACTTTTTTTACTTTTTTAGTAGTAGTAGGTATTGTCCATTTTGTTGAAAATTTGGTTCTTTTTTACAGGTGGAGAAAGCCATTGATCAGGTTCAAGAAGCAGGTTCAAATGCCTTGGATACTGCGCAGCAGATTCTTGATGTTGTAGGGAAAGTTTTGAAGCCAGCCATAGATGCAGGGGTGCCTATTGCGCAGAAAGCTGGAGAAGAGGTATTGAGGGCTGCTTCTCCAGCAATATCTGAGGCCTCAAAGAAAGCCCAAGAAGCAATTCAAAGCACTGGCCTTGATACTGAGCCAGTTCTCAGTGCTGCAAAGGTTCACCTCTAACTCTTTTTTCACTTGCATGAAAAGTAGGAAAATTTGTTTACCTCCCATGATGAGTGTCCACTATTGAAAATTTCAACTTGATTTATTTTATAAAATGAGCAAAAATTTTTCATTGTTGAATGTAGAGACTGTATTTTTAGTAAGCTTGAAGAGAGTAATGTAATGCTTAATTTCTTTACCCATTAGTGACCACTCACCGTTGAATTGGATTGTTAAATTTGTAGACTGCAGTGACCATTCTATATGTTGTTTTGAGTTCATTAAAATGCTAATCATGCATTTAAATGTTAAATTAGAACTTTGTTTTGGTTTTCCAATTGCAGTGTTTCTATTGAATTGAAAATTTTAGTAAGGATTTTATCTCTACTCTCTTTCACCTTCCCTTAAGCATAACTTGAGTCGGGCATTGTATAGGATCTGAAAGATGGATTTAAGGAATAATATTGTTAAAACTTAAAAGTGGTTTGAGATGTTGTCCTGGTTCACAAAGAAGATTAAGCTAAATGTTCTTGTCAAAGGTTGAAATGACAGGATTGAAGCCCAATAAACCGTTTCTGATTTGCTTTCAATCTTTCATTAATGGTGGACTGATAACAGTGAATAACTTGGGGAATTGATCTTGCAAAATTTATTTATTTTTTTCTATAAAATTTAGGTGAGCTTGGCGTGCATTCAGAAGCAATGCTGATATGTTTTAATGTGAACTAAACAACGATATTTGGTTATTCCAATCTCATCCAAGTTTCAAGTTGGTAGTTTATTAATGCCAACATAATGCATAAGCAACTTCTTTAGCCAAAATGCTGAGCAAAACATCATTGTCAGGGTCAGTTTGGAATCTACAATGTACTCTTTTCTTGTAATACAAAACATGGTTCCTAAATTATTTTCTTTGATCATATCTGTTTATTTGAAGTTCTGGGTTTACTTAGTTGTGTCCGAAAAACTGATGCAATGGTTTTGGTTGCAGACAGCGGCTGATGTTGCAAAACAAACTACAAAGGTGATTGAAGCAGCCAAGCCTGTAGCTTCTTCAACTTTTGAAACCCTCACAACTGCAGACCCGATAACAATTGTAGGCACTGCTGGAGCATTATTTGTTGCATACCTCCTCCTTCCTCCCATCTGGTCCATCATCTCCTATAGTCTTCGTGGTTACAAAGGTTATTATTGCTGTTGTTTTCTGACATAAAGTATCATCTTCATGGCATGAATTCTTTTCGTAAAGTACTTTAAAGAAGACAGAAAATGAAGAAAATGGATTATAGGTTTGTCATAATGTATAGAATGTTGCTGACATGTCGCCTCTCTGTTGTTCTTCAGGTGACGTTACTCCTGCTCAAGCCCTTGATTTAATATCTACACAAAATTACATTATGGTTGATATTCGATCAGAGAAGGACAAGGACAGGGCTGGTGTCCCCCGCCTTCCCTCTAGTGCTAAGAAGAGGATGGTTGCAATTCCGTAAGTAAATCTCACTGAGCTGTGTTCTAATATTTTTTCTTTGTTTGCGGTCATGTCACCAACCATCCAAATGTGCATTGGATTGGATTGTTCATCATTCATGAATGCTTCTGTGTTTCAGTTTGGAAGAGTTGCCAAACAAGTTAAGAGGCCTAGTGAGAAGCACAAAGAAAGTAGAAGCTGAGATTGCAGCCTTGAAGATTTCTCATCTCAAGAAAATCAACAAGGGCTCAAACATTGTGATCATGGACTCGTGAGTTCTTGTTCCATTGCTATTCCATTATGCTGAAGCATTATGAAATCTGGTACCAAAGTTAACCTTTTCAAATCCATGAATGTTTTCAGCTACTGTGATTCAGCAAAAATAGTTGCGAAAACGTTAACAAGTCTCGGTTTCAGCAATTGCTGGGTGGTGGCTGACGGGTTTTCAGGAAGCAGAGGGTGGCTGCAGAGTCGACTAGGAACAGATACATACAACTTCTCTTTGGTGGAGGTTGTGTCACCATCCCAGGCTATTCCTGCAGCTGCTAAACGATTTGGTACAACCAGCACAAAGTTTCTTCCTGGTGCAGAATAATAATTTTTTTGCCTCATCAAATCAAATAAACTGAAAAAGAAATGCTTGAATCTGAATGTGAGTTCTTTGTTTAGGTCAGCTCTCTCATGGAATAATCTGTTGTAATTCTTTCATTAATGTTAGTTCATCCTCTTTCTTCTCATCTTTGCCTTAAAAGTGAAATCATTAATAATTTTTTCTCTGAAACACATTGGAATAACTTGAAAGCATGATCTAAAGGAGCAAATAATACTTTCCCTTGTTTAGACTTTAGATTCTTTCACAATAATTCATAGAAAATCGAGCAGAAAGGCTGTTTTCAAAACTCGATCCAGTGAGTAAACAAATTAAAAATAATGACTATTTTTTAAGTGCAAAAATGTTCCACAATGAAAGGTAAAAATTTGGTCACATTTTTTGGTTTCAATTACATGTATGTGTATTCATCAAAGAGCAAAGCCACCTCTAGATCTCGTTGAATCAGCATTCTCATTTGTATGTGGTAAGGACTGAGCAAACATGGTATCATCTACCAATCACTGCCAAAGAGCTACATTGAAAGCTAAACCTGAATAGCAGGGCCAACATATACTCCTGGGCGCATATATAGATCATCCGGTGTTTCTATCTCTGCAAGCCATGCATAGTCCTCTTCCTTCCCCTTGCTTATCTGAGCTTCATTTCCTGCAGAATCAAAGGACTTGTTTTTCAACAATTGAAACTGTGCTCAAGGTTGTCCTCGCATGTGATGACATAGGTTATAGGGTTTAAATGTTACACAACAATGCCAAAAAATAGAAGCACGACAAGAAAAATACATATACTAATAACAAAAGATGAACTTACCAAAGGTGGAATAGGGATAGTCAATGTAGTAAGTGCATTTTCTACCTAGATCTTCTCTGTAGGGAGGAGCAAGTACATCAAACACGGCACAAGGAGTGACTGCGGTGAAACAATGCAAATTCCCCCCACTTTTTGGGTACAAAACAGAGGTCCCACATGGTGCGGTGAGAACTTTATCAACCACCAATCTTGCTAACCTTACTGCCAAAAAGAAACTATTATGTAATAAGTTTCTGCCCTAAAAGAAACAGAATCATACTAAGGTGACAGGAATCGATAAGAAACCAATGAGCATTATAATCTCTACCATCTTGACAAAATGAACTACTTATCGCAAGAAAATTTGGGCCTTGCTAATCAGTCAGAAGCACAGCAATAATGAAGGTAAGAATGAAGAGGAAAGGGGCTACTATACAGGTAGCATGTGGAGAAGCCAAGCCCCCTCTTTCATGCTGATTGTGGTCAGGAAAGTCATGCAAGGTAATCCCACAGAACTTATGGTTTTAATATAGACTTGGAGTAACATTCAATGGTTCATACTTACATAGTGATCAGCATCGCTTTCTTTTTCTTGGTATTTGTTTGCTTTTAACACTCTTTTATCCCACTGATATTCAAATTTACATCAAGAACCTCAAATCTCTAAGGGAAACAGACCCCAGGCCATATAGCAATACCATGCCAAGTGGAGACAGGTGAGAGCGATGGCATCAAAATTTGCTCATTCATCAATCGATAAAGGGCTGCTTTATGAGATCCTTTCTTTAGAACCCAGGTTAATTATTTGAGATGAAATCATATGATCAGTGGATTATTTTATACCAAGTTATCAACAATTAGTAAGGTCCAACCAATGCCTTTGGGCTTAGCCCAAGAGGTAAGGGCGTGATGCAGTAGGCGTAGAGATCCTAGGTTCGAGCAGTACGCTCCTTGTACCAAAATGACAAAAAATGGTAAGCACACCAAATATGTGAATAGATGCTATTGAACTTCTATTATATGCTACAGAGTAACCTTTCTAAAATATAGTGTTAATTTTGCCTAACTCTTAAGGCCATGCGGAAAAAGGCGAATGAAATTATTGGCTGCTCATACTCTGATATGAACATATCCTCATCATCTTTCCATTCAAGGACAATGCTACTAGAAGGTTGTGATAAAGTGAAAAAATGGTTGGGACTGAGGTGCTGGTAAAGCCGAAAACAGGTGCTTACAGTTTCATCTGGTTAGAACAATATGTAGTTTGAATGTAATGGCAAGAATTCTGATTAAACTAATAAAGGAAAACCCAGCATAGCTTTATATATCTCCTTTATATATCATAACCAAATTTGAAATAGGAAAAAGAAAAAAGAAAAACATTAGAGATTGATTAGAGCAATACTAGTTTGCAGAGATCAATGTATTACCATCTGATGGCATCAAAATTTTTGTATGTTCCATTTCCACACAGTGAATGAAGGTTGGTAGTCTTGTTGGGGGATTTATACAAAATAACCAAACTAAAACTGCCTTTCAATGCCAGCATGTCGGATTAACTGTTATGTACAGAGAGTATATTAAAACCGAACCTTGAGGGCAAGTTGGCTCTCTGCTTTCCTTAATGCATGCAGGTTCAACCCAGTCATAAGCCTTCACATGCATAGATCCATAAAGAACTTTGCTGAATACAGTCATCCCAGGATGGTCGTGGAGTGGAATGACCGAAGAAGTAGGAAAACAGAATATGCACATCTGCACAGAACATCATTTGTTCAACCAAAAGGAGTAAAGTAGAAAGATACTAGAACCTTAAGAGGATGAACTTTTTGACCATATTTTCAATCAAATCTGGTTGACAGCTACTCAAAAGCAGGTACTGATGGCGTAGTATGATCAATACCACCAAAAGTGGCATATGGCAACTTGGAAAAACAGAAAAAATAAGCAAAAACAATTTAAAATTTTAGATCCAGGTAACAAAAACAAATGAACTACAACCTCATGGAGACAATAAGAAAGATGCATATAAACCTTGAAATGGTAAACTTGAACATAAAAAATTATTCAAAGGAGAATTGATCATATGAAACTCTAAAGAGAGGAGCATGAAATCATAAGTGTAAATTAGATTTACATTGTGAGGCTCACCGTAAAACTATCGCACTCGTGAATGTCCACATAGGTTATCGGTTGAGCCCATCTAGCTACTCTATTCAGTCCAAAAAATCCATGCCCTTGATCATCATCTGGACTTTCCTCTTTAAGTCCAACATCAGCAGGGCCAAATGTGTCTGTAAAATGGTATATACAAGTGATGTATCAAACAAAAGCAGCAGATATCACAACCTATTCAATTGCTATATTCAAAATAAGGCTTTGAGTTTCAGTTTTTCAGTTATTGGCTAATGCAAATTTTAGGAAGCAAAGGATTAAAAGCATCTAGTAATGTTGATATCGATAAAAAATTTACTCCTGAAAAGTTGCAATAGAATTGGAATTGACACACAAAAATGGATGAGTTTCATCCACCTTATAACTTTGGAAAGCCAATTACCTAACAGATTATGATCCAATCCCATACTTCATCATAAATCAGACATATGGGAATTCAGGACTGAACTAATTACAATACTGCATAACATATGCAATCAACTTATCAAAATAGCAATTTTCTACTACTCATCCCTCATTCATCTTTCTCAATCTGCAATTAAATTGATATCACTGCCAACTGGAAACAACAGTTCTCTAATATTTCTAACATGGCAATACTCTACCTAAAAATCACATCAAAGCATAACAAATATTCAAAAATTAAGCACACTAACCTGATAAGAATGACTAAGATCATTCTTGACAGTTTTTTGAAAATCAATTACATTAAATAGCATAATTCATACATAAAGCATTATTTCTCAATTATGGTGTTGCTGATTTGGTTAAAATAAGAGAAACCTAGCTCAACAAAGTAAGCTTCACAAAAGAATTATAAAAGAATAGCACTACACTATAGCATCTTTGTATAAATGTGAAACTATCAAAAGTTAAACCCATGCTCTAGAGCATGTGAACCAAGAATTCTGCCATTACACTAACGCAAAAGCTCCTGAAAAACTATAGCTTATAACTAAGTGAAAAATTAAAACCAGTAACCTTTCATTTAACAAATAAAACGGCATGTCCATAGGTGAAAAAATCTCTGACAGTTACATGTCCATATCAGAATTATGTGGTTAAGGCTAAGAGAGTGAATGTTGTTATCATCAAGGATGACATTCATCGATTAGTTTGTGCTCAATAAAGCAGTAATGCTACACAGCCATCACGACATAGTAAAAGGAACAAGAATCATATCCCTGTCACGTTAAGCAGCTCATCTTGCAGCATTAGTGTAAACAAACAACACGTCTTTCCCCTCTTAAAGACCACCTTATTCAATGTCACTAAACCGCATGCCCACGTTCTGTCCTATTAATAGATAATAAATAAAAAAAGAACATAAATTTCATCCAAACAAAATATATTGAAAGAAAAAGAACTAAAACTTTTTCTCAGGTAACTTTGTTTTATCTTAAATAAACACTTGGATCACACCAGTTCAAAACTTCAGAATTAGAGTCGTTTTAGATAAAAAAGACTAATTTTTTCAATGAAAAATTAAGAACATTACACCACAGACCAAGCAATAATTTCATCAATTCACAAACCACCTTTTCAAACTTCAAAATCAGATGCCAAAAGAAAAAAAGAGCCAATTTAGAACTAATCGTATATGTGAAAGCCAGTTCAGCCATAACTCAAGTATTCACAAGATTCAATTTTTTTTCCATTCCAGGCCCCTAATCAATCGAACCTTTACATAAAACATCACATTAGGCAAAACCCAAATGCAGAATTCAGGCAAACTTGACATGCAAAAGCTTTATGAAGGGAAATCAAAAAGGGCAATGACGAAAATACCCAGAAGAGAGCAGAGTTTGTGGATGTGTTGGGAAGGAGCAGAAGACAACCCTGAAGGTGTAAAGGTGTTTTTGCAAAGATCATGGAGAAGCTGCACTTTAGGAGAAGTGCTGTTCATAGCCACATGCAGTTTTTGCTTTGGAATATACAGAGGGGACACAGCTTTCTTCTGTAGAAAAACCATGGCCTTATCTGTTGCCTTTAGAAAATTTGAAAACATATTCTATATTTTTGGGTAGTGTTTTTGAGAATTACTGCGAAGTGCAAATTGGGGATGTCAAGTAGTAGCACTTTCTGTGGACTGGACTGCTTTGATTCATGTCGTCTGAGTCTGAGTAAATTGGTGGTTGTCACTTTCTCAACGAGTTTCGAGAAATGGGCTTTGATTTTTTCTTGGGCCATGCTTATTGGGATTCCAGGTGGAATGATCGGCTTTCAATCGAACTACGACTCCGGTGACGCGTTGAATTATATAAAACTTATGGAAGTAAACTTATTTCATTTAAACTCAAACAGTTCGATCTTTTTTAACGTTAAACTTGCGCTTTTAAAAATACATAAGATTGGTTAATATAATAATAGCATAATCTATTAATAAAATATTAAAATTTAAGTTTTGATAATTTTAAATAAAAGATAAATTATGTTAATGTAGAAATTTATTGATTTTGTAACAAATTTGAATGAGTTGATAAGTTTTAAATACTTATTTATAAAGCTTTGGTTCAAATTTTATTTTCAATAATTTTTTTAATTGAGAATATATAAATTTAATATAAATTATCTTTAAAATTTGTGAAATCGAAATATATTTTTTATTATTATAGTCAAATTTGATTGTGATAATGCCATTTGAGTTTGTAACGTATAAATGATTAAAATGTTAGATGGATTTGTTTTACTTTTAAAGCTTTTGATAATTTATTATTCATTATTGAAGAAGTACGACAACAAGTTATTTATTTGATATTTGTTTTTGGATATTGTAACTCAGATAAAAATATCAAGTAACTCTGAAATAAAAAGATTTTGATCAGATTATAAAATTTTAGGTTATGATTTAGCTTAAAATGTAAATAATTCATATTATTTTTTTCCCAGAGTATACTTTAGCATAAGAATCTTCTCTATTCAAGTATAAAATATGTATAATTATATGTGACTTTGTTTAATATATAAGTTTATTTGTTTAAAGATAAGCGACAAATGATAATATCAATATGTGCATCAACACGACATCAAAACAAGCACACCAATATCTCGTCAATTTTAGTTATATTTAATGCATAAGATGATAGGTAGGATAGTAAAATAATTATTTTATATTATATTTGATTTGTACCTAATTTAAAATAATAAGATTATGAAGAGGATTATAAAGAGGATTATTGTTATCTTGATATAAAATGATTCAATCATCTAGAACATTATTTTTAATTCATGAGATTAAATTTACGTGTCTTATTATAATCTTAAAAATTATATCAATCATTTAAATTATATAAAACTTTGAGAAAGTTTAATTTTGACTAATAAATAATTTATTTTATTTTAATTATTATATATATTAAATATAAGATAAGATGATATTATTTAATTTAATTTTATTCATAATATTATTTTATCTTATCCCATTATAATTTTATGTACCAAATATGATTTTTATATATATTTTTATTTTATATCAAAGTTGTGTCAACTTTATTAAAACTACTTTAATAAAATAGATTTTCTATACCTTAAAATCAAAAGAATTTATTAATTTTATATATTTTTGTATGATTTTTGTTTGTAGTATTTTACCTATCAAAATTAATAGAATATTTTAATAATATTTTAATACTAAATTGAATAACAATAGATTAATAAAGTAATGCTCTGTTTGTCTCCCAGAAAATGAATTTTGAAAAATGAATTTTGAAAAATATTTATATTTTTTGAATCGAGTGAGATTTTTTATTATTTAGATGAGTTAATAAAAAATATTTTTTGTTGTTTGACTGTTTCTTGAAAAAAAAAATTTTTTGTTCAAACAATATTAATATAACTATTAAAATATTAAAATATATTTATTATTAAAATTATGAATATTAAAAATAATTATATTTTTAATAATAATATTTTAATATTTTAATATTATGTTATTAAACAAATATTTAAAATAAAATATATTATTTATTAATATATTATAATATTATTTATTAATAATATTTATTAATATATTATATTAGTAGTATATTATTTATTAATATATTATTATAATATTTATTAATTAAATGAATAATTATTATTATATTAAGTATTAATATATTATATTAATAGTATATTATTCATTAATATATTATAATATTATTTATAATTAAAACTATACTAATAAATAATTTTATTCATAAATAAATTTTTTTGAAAAATATTTTTTCTTTTTCAAATTCATAAGATTATTTAAAAAAAATAACATCATTTTTTTATTGATCAACTAATTTTTTTATTAAATAAATATCTAAAAAAATACAAATTATTTTTTGAAAATCAATTTTTGTGGGCCATAATTAAATATGTAAATGATATATTGGTACTCACAAGCTACTTGGATTCGATTTGAATAAAACTCGAATTCGGTTCGATTATTAACGAGTCGAGCTCGGACTTGAGTAGTTCAACTTATCGATCGAGCCGAATTCGAGTATTCTTATATTTAGGGTTGGCATCGGGTCGGGTTCGGAGCGGGTTTTGCTCGCCCCGAACCCGACCCGACTTCATCATCAATAAACTCAACCCGACCCGACCCGAATTTTTTTTTTCATACCCGACCCGACCCGAAACCGATATTATATAAGTCGTACCCGATTTGACCCGACCCGAAATTAATAAAAATATTATATTTTAAATATAAATATTTAAAAATATCATTATATAAATATATAAATAAATAATTAAAAAATAATTTTTTAAATAATATCGGGTCGAGTATGCCTAAAACCCGACCCGACTATTTCATAACATTACCCGACTCGACCCGACTCGAAATTCGAAATTCAAAAAAAAAAAACCCGACCTCATAGGGTCGGGTCGGGTCGGAACCTGCCGGAGTCGGGTTGAATTCCCATCCCTACTTATATTTGATTCGAGTAGCTCGCGAGTCTAATCGAGCTTTTATATTTATATTTTTTTTATTATTTTAATCAATAAAATATTTCGAATTCGAGTTCGAGCATAAATAATCTAACTCTTATCGATTATAAGAATCAAGTTTATTTTAATATATTAATCGAACTTAATCGAGTAAGTTCGAGTAGCTCGATTTCGATCACGAATCGAGCTCGAATTAAAAAAATAAAACTCGATCGAATTTGAATCGAATATTGAGCCTTGAGTTGGGAGTTGAGTTCGAACTTTTTACTATATTTATTCGACTCGATTACACCCTAGCTCTAATATTAGTTGCTACAACAATTATCTTTTGGCGGGAAAATCTAAAAATTTTGAACTCTACAATTAAAAAAAAAAGCAATAAGAACCCTATCTTTGTTTAGGAAAAAAAAAAAAAAAGAGATTGCGAAAATGGAAGGCAGCGAAAGCGAAGCAATTTTCGATTCTCTGAATCTAAATCCCCAACTTTTCATCAACGAAACCCTGAACACCGTCGATGATCTCATCAACGATGCCTTCGATTTCTGTCTCCAGTAACCCTCTCTCTCTCTCCCTCTCTCGGTTTCCCTTCGTCTTTATTTTTTTCCTCTTTGATTTGTCTTAAGAAAAGTTCTTGTATTTTGGTGAAACTTGCAGGGAAGCCTCCACGCTTTTGAAAATCGAAGGCACCGACCGCTCCCAAGATCTAACCAAGGTAGCCTTCAATTTGCTTTCATTTAAAAAAAAATATTATTACTTCGAATTTTGGAAATATTGATTGATTAGCACTGAAACTGATTTATATTTTTCAAAATTGTGTTAGTAATACAAATTTATTTGCTTTAAATTGAAATTTTAGAAGAATTAATTTTCATTAATCATGTCGCTGTTTGTTTTTTTTTTTTTTTTTCTCTGCTGAAAGCATAGAAAATTCAGACAATGTTTTCATTTTTTTTTCTAAAATTCTTGAATGAAAAATAAAAAATAAAAAAATAAAATAGAAATTTAACTATAACTAAAACACAAGACAAATATGGTCCCAGTGGAATAGTCAAACTGACATAACATTCAAGTCCGTGAACTCAATCATTGGACAGAACACATGGAATCACCTGACCGTTTTCCTAATTAGCACTAATCTTCTGGTCTTGTTGTTGCTTTTTTAGGGTGTTAATTATATTCGCAATATGATCCAATCAAGTTTGGATAAGCGGCTTGCTATGTGGGAGAAGTACTGTCTTCGCCACTGTTTTATGGTTCCTGAAGGTTTTTCTTTGCCCAAGAATGTAGGTTTTTGCTGTAATTCTGCAGAATTATTAATTTCTTGGTGCATATGTCAGTTCAACATTACTTGTTGCAAATCCTTACATATTGTGAAATGGGTTTTTTATTGCATGTTGAGATTATTGCTTGATATTCTTTGGACTTAAATGGTGAAAAAGGTACAGAATTGTAGACGAAATGAAGATTAATCAGTTGGCAAAAGAGATGGAGATTTTCTTTCTTTTTTTCTTGTTTTTTTGATGCAAGAGATATAGAGTTAATCACTTCAGTCAATAAAAGCAGAAAATGAAAGAAATCTGATGTTCTAATTTAGCATTTGAAGTGATAGATTAGTAGTTTGGAATGCCTGATATCATTTTCACAGGAGTTTAGGATGTCTGATAGCATTTCTAGAAGCATCTTTTAAGATTTGTAAAATCTTGTTACTGTCTGTCATGATATAACACAGATGGCATAAATAATTGATAGATTGAAATTTTCAGTTAGGAGATTTAGGGATTATTGCGTTAATGGTATTGTAGAAAATTGCAATCTCAGTAATTTGGCCTTAGTAGGATTGGCAAGGGGCAACTACTAAAGGACAACCATTTGACTTAATTGGGAAGTTGGGACAAGGATAAAAGATCACGTCCTGAAGATCTAGTGATAGTAATTACTATTATTGCTGTCCAAAAGGAAGCATGTCGAAAAATTGCTGTGTTATACAAAATGTAGAAGTCTACAAAAAAAATTTGATGAAACACTCTACAAACATGCATGCATAACTTGTTAAAAATTTGCTTTACCATGGTTACACCTTGTTAAAATTTTCTTTATTTTAGTTATAACTGCGAATTCTCATTTTTATTTTTGTTTCTAGGAAGAGTTACCTGGTAGTTCTTCGATGGTTCAAGATACTGTGTCTGATCCAGATGTGGATGCAGAGTTGGATTCATTAAGGGATAAACTTACATTGGTGAGATGAATCCTTTACAGTTATATTGCTGGAATGTTTATTTGCTTGTAAATTTTCTTCTTTTTTTCTCAATTGGTCCCTGTCTAAAAGAAACTTTCTTCTTAGGCTGGGGCAGAGTCTGATAAGCTCAACAGTGAACTTAAAGAATTGGAAAGGCGGTCTGCTTCAAATGGGCATTGCGCTGGACTTATTACTGAGGCATTGCAGTTATATAAAGACAACTCTGTGCATGACATGTTCCAAGGTACTTTAAGTTACCTATTTAATTATATTCTTCAATATAATAGTGCATTAAATCCATGAGGTAGTGCTTTGGTATTTGAGGCTGCTAAGGTTTGAACGCTAATCACTGGAATTAATGATCCTGCACTCTACCAATAGACCGCACAGTTGTTGGCAATATAGTGCTTTGTATGCACAAGAAATGAGGTTCTGTTTTAGATGTTGTAGACGTGTCATAAAATTATCAATAGAAGCATTTCTATATTCAGCGCCTTAGCCTTTCGTAATTCTTGAACTTGTCCTTGCTACCATCTGGTCAGATTTTTGAAGCACTACTTTTTGAGTTAATTATTCTTCTCATTATGGTCTTTACTCCCAACCATGCTTCCTGCAGAAATGATGCAAACTGCAACAGACCTCCGTGTCAAAATGCAGAAGCTAAAGACCAGACAGGTTGAAAGAATGGAACATGCACGAGCAGAGAGGATATACAATTCACTTACTGATTACTTCACTGTGAATCAGGAGAAAGGTAAACTTTTTAGCGTTTCAGTACACCTGCACGCTGGTTATACTAGGTCTTTACTCCCTGCTTGTCCTGTGAAGTAATTTTTTGGTTTTCTCATTTGAAATGTAGGCCTTTCCAATGCAAAGTTGGATGATCTTCAAGAATTTCTAGCGCAATTGAAGAAGATGTAAAAGTTATACATGTAATATGTCTAGTTGCACAGTTCTGTATTGCTTTAGAGTTAACTGTAAGTCCTCTCTTTCTGCCATCTTCTTCCTTATTGGCTGAAGACTTTTGCTGTTTTTACGTTTTGTTTATTTACACCCCTACTTATGTTTACCAATGTTAAGTGTATTATGTTGACTGAACATAAATTTATTCAACCTAGTAATCTGCCTAAATAGATGGAATAGGTTGGATATAACAATACAATTGTGATTCTCATCTTCAATCACTATTGAAATAATGACATAGGATAAGGATGAACTTGGAGCTTAGCTCACATGGTTCATCCATTTCCCTAGGTGGATTCCAACAAGGCTGGGATTCAATTCCTTCTAGATATTGGTCTCCCATGTACCAAAAAAAGAAATAGGATAAGGTCTATTAGAGTTCTGTACAGTTTACATGGAGGTTGTTGAGTTTTCTAATAAAATTGTGTTAAATGTTGAAATTGTGAAGTTAGTAATTTTAATGCTTTGTAGAGATTTGTGCTCAACTTATGAGTTATTATTCGCTTTAATTCGAAAGTTTTACGATTTTGTTTCACAAAAGGCATTTCACTAGTATGAGTTTAAATCTTTACGTATATATATATTATATTGTATTTACATATTTTTTTAATGTGAGACAAGTCAAGTTTAATCATAGGATTAAAATTACATCACACATTGAGATTCTAAAAGTGGTTCCCTATTATGTAGTACTTAGTGACTTACGATTGTGTAGTATTTTGTTCTTGTTGATTGGTGATCGTTCTGATATTATTTATGAAGATCTGTATTCAATTTGTGAAGTATTATTTATTTTGATTTGAAGGTCTCACGATTTTATTCTATAAAAGATATCCCACAAGTTAGAATTTAAATCTTTATATATATATTATATCATATTTACATATATTTTTTAATATGAGATTAAGAGCGATATATGCCTAAAATGATTTTATTGGAGACGTCATCTTCTCGTTAGAACTTGAAGGTAAAACACAAATGCATTCATTGATGCTAAAAAGGGGTGGGCTACTTTGAGAATGATGGCTAGATATTATATGGGGTAGAGTGTTGGTTCAGTTAATTTTGAATTAAATTATTTAAAATTAAATTAATTGAATTATATTTTATTATTTTTATTAATTGAACTGAATTTTTTAATTTTAAAAAATAATTGATCGAAATTAATTCAATTAATTTTTTCAGTTAATCAAATAATAAAACATATTAAATTAAATTTTATTTTAAAATTTATTTTTTCATATGTGAAACAAATTAAATAAAATTATTTAATAAAAATATTTAAATATTAAAGTAAAAACTCTAATAATTTAAAATGAAATGGATTATTTCATATATTTTTTGTTTTATATATAAGTTTTATAATATTTTGATTAAAATTTTAATTATTTGATTTTTGAATTTGAATCAATCGAAAGTCAAAATTTTTTAAAAATTATTTTAGATAATCAATTAATTAATTAATTGAATTAATTTAATCTATTAATTCAGTCAAAATCAAATTATGAAAGCTTCTAACATGTGGAGATGTCTTGTTAAGTGCACTAAATACAGTTAATAATGTTGCATCTTTGCTTCATGCTGAGATAAAGACGATTCTCTTTGGTCCTGGAATTGCACCAGAATTTGGTTTGGTTTTTACATCATAAAGAGTGATTAACACCCGATTGGCAATTGTCAAATTTTTGAAATTTGATGATTCTAAATGGGAGAAACGGAATAGAATAAGAATGCGATAAAAAAAATTGAAGATAATATTATTTAAAATTTTAATAATTATTATATATATTTAATAAAATAAAAAATATATTATATATTTTTATATAAATATAAATTATAATATATAATTTTTATATAAAATATAATATAAATATACGAATTATTAAATCTAAATGTCAGATATAAATGTGTAAATGATATATTAATATTCACAAGCTATTTAAGTTCGATTTTAAAAAAATTTGAATTCGGTTGAATTATTATCGAGTCGAGCTCGAGCTCGAGTAGTTCGACTTATCGATCGAGCCAAATTCGAATATTCTTATATCCGACTTGAGTAGCTCGCGAGCTCAATCGAGCTTTTATATTTAAATATATTTTTATTATTTTAATTAATAAAATATATCAAGTTCGAGCATGAATAATTAAATTTTTGTTGAGCATACAAATCGAACTTATTTTTATATATTAATCGAATTTAATCAAACGAGTTCAAGCAACTCGAATTCGATCACGAATCGAACTCGAGTTTGAAAAATAAAACTCGATCGAGTTCGAACCGAGTATCGAATCCCGAATTATGAGTCGAACTTAAGCTTGAACTTCTCACTGTATCGATTTGATTCGACTCGATTATATCTTTAATAAGATATAATGGATTTACCCTTTTTTTAAAGAGTAGTTAATTTGCCGATGCAAAAAAGAATACTAATTCCTTTGCTCATAGTATTGCAAAGTGGAGTGCGTGATAGAGTAATTTTATTGCGAAATTGATGATTAATATTCCATCATTTTTTTTCTAAATTAGTAAATTGCAGCCAATTCTTTTATGATAAAAAACGAATTATTCTGTAAAGCCATAAAATTTTTGTAAGCTTTTTTTTTAATAATAAACAAAAACATAACCCCACTTCTCTATGAGGATATGGGCTTGAATAACTACGAAAGCCCAAACTAAATATTTATTGCAAATGCAAAGCAACTGACTAAAAAGCCCATTAAGATATAAGGCTTAAACCCTGAAACTGCTGAACATTCAGAAACCCTAATTTCCGCCATCTGAAATCTGTCACACGTTATTCTAGACATTCTCTTTCTGTTTAAATTTCCCTGGTTTGCCATTGTTAGAGAAAAAGAAAAAGAGAAGGCAATGGGAAGCGATAGCGAAGCAGAGAAGGCGCAGCAGAAGGAGAAGGAGAGGAAGAAGATGTTAGCTATTGCTCCCATAGCAAAGCCCCTCGCTGGCAAAAAGCTCTGTAAGAAAACCCTCAAGCTCGTCCGCCGAGGTATCCCATTTTTCTATATACAGACAACCCTTTTACGAAAATCCATCTTGGGTTTTTTTTCTTAGTCAGACATTGCCTATCAAAGAAAAAGTTTTTAAGTTAAATGGTGCAAGAAAAGACAAAGAAAAATGAAAAAGACCCAAATCTCTAATGGTGGAATTTTTGTGATTGATATGATTTTTTTTTATGGTGTGCAGGTATTTTGGTGAAATTGTTGATTGTTTGAGTTTTAATTTTTTTTTAATTAAAAAAAAAAATAATGTGTTGCTTTTTATTGTTGTAGCTGCTGAGCACAAGTGTTTGAAGAGAGGAGTAAAGGAAGTGGTTAAAAGTATTCGTCGTGGTCAAAAAGGGTAAATTTTTTTTTCTTTCAGATTCTACATGTGTGCCTCTTCCTGTTTTCCCATTTTCAAACATTTGTTAATCTAAGCTGTGCTCTTATATTTTTTTTTACTTGGATAGTTAAAAAAAAAAGTTCCATGGACTGAGAAATATTGTTCATTCTATCAGGGGAATGGAAGTCTATGACTCTGTTTCATTATCTTGTTGATTATGTTAGGATGCAAATATAAGGTTTAAGGGAGGAAGGTTATACACATGACTGAGTATCAATAATCCATTATCTGTTTTAATGCTATCATTAAAATGTTGATAACTATATGCATTACTAATAAATTGCTGATTTTCAGTGGCGAAGAGCATGCTGATTTCAACATTTCTGCAACGTTGAAAGAAGTGGAGTAAACATTAATGAAATAGAGAAAGGAGGGAAAGGAGAAAATTTATAAATACGACTTAGCTTAATACTTTCACTACTAAATTGTTCTAAATGTGCTTGATAAGGTATCCAATCATGAACTTGATTTAAATAATCATTTCATGGGTTAAGTAGACTATAATCTTATGACTACAACATCATTATGTCATGGTTGCCACGGCTGCTTTATAGGATTATCCAAAGTTTGTGTCTCTATCTGCTCAAGAAAAGGAAATTTGTTTTATGGTCATCTGAAATTTTCCTTCAGAATTTGGGACAGCATAGTTGAGTATGAAAGAGTGATACTTATCTAATGGCATCTACAAATGGATGCCACTTGTTTCAGCAGTGGTCCATGCTGCCGATCTGAATTACGGAAGAACTTATGTGAAAAATATAATAATAAATGAATAATTATTTTATATCTCTAGGCTTATTTCTTGTCTTTAACATATTACTGATAGGGCATTCTTTCTTGATACAATCAAAATTTCAAACTTAGGAAAAGTAGTTTTAACTTCAAATATTAATCACGGAATTGCCTAATCATTTATCTTTAATCTTTTTTTTGGATGCAGATTATGTGTTATAGCTGGAAACATATCTCCTATTGATGTCATAACTCATGTTCCAATCCTATGTGAAGAGGCTGACATTCCCTATGTTTATGTTCCCTCAAAAGAAGTAAGCTTGGACCCCCCTCTCTTTTTTCTGTCTAATTTAGTGGCATTACATGCTTAAAGTGATTGTCCTGCTTGGCTATGAATAACCATAGAACGTAATTTCTTACTTTTTGATTTTCCAACTTCCATCTTATCTGTCATTGTAACCTTTGTAAAGACAGCACTAGGTCTAACCAAATTTTTTTGTTTTATTTTCTTTATTTATTTATTTGAGTTGCATTCTTTTATGTTATGCAAACACAGTTACTAATATACCCTGAAAATTCAAGGATTGTGGCATGTGAAACATTTTTGCTAATGATTTAAGTTTTCTAATGAGTCTCTGTCCTTGAATCCATGTCTGTATATGAAATATTTCTACCTGCATTATGATATTTCCATCATGAATTCTTTTATCTTTGAAAATTTCTGTCATGCTATTTGGAACTATGTAAAGCATTTAAAAAGTGGGTTTGGAATGCTGTGTATGGTTTCCATATGGCTCATTTCTCTGAACCTAAAATAGTATATACTTGATTAACGACTATCAGCACTAGTCCTCTATACACCCAATTGGATCTGTACACCATGCAATTTGACCCTTAACATATAGCACAACTAAAGGCTCTTTGCAGATTAGTTTTCTGTTTGTAGATTGGTAGCTTGTGTAAGTAAATAAATTAGCTATGAGCTCTCTGTCATGCACCTTGTTTGACTGGTTACTTCTGCCATTTCAGGATCTTGCAACTGCAGGAGCTACCAAGAGACCGACATGCTGTGTTCTGGTGCTAACCAAGCCCACCAAAGGGGAACTAAGCCCCGAGGAACAAGAAAAAATAAAGGCGGATTACAGCCTGATAGTAGCGGATGTATCTGAGCTTACATCCTCCCTATTTTAATTAACAAAAAATTTTTGTTGTGCTTTGATGTGGACATTCTATTTTCTGCATCTCAGGGGATGTGCTTTACTTAAGTTAATACTTATTGTAGTACACTAGCATCTGGCCATCTGCTTGCTTTCAGTTTTCACTAGGGAGTCTCTGAGATGTTAATCTTTATTCAGTTATGTGTATCAAGGGATGAATTTTCTTACACTTTTAGGTACTTTTACCATTGAAAAATATTGGTTTGTTTTGACGTTGGTGGTGTTGGAAACTTTCACATCTGAACCAAGCAGAGTTTTTTATTATGACAATTACTGTAAAAATTATAACAAAACACTAATTTCAGAATTTCATTTTCTTTTTCAATATTTACAATTTTGGGAAACCAACCTACGATATTTAAGTACTCTCTATTGTCCCTTAAATCATAGTGTAATTGAGTTGAGTTGAATTTGATATAATAAGAATTATAAGAAATATAATTTGAAAGTTATTTTTTTAAATTTAATTTGAATTTGATTGAATTTTAAATTAAAAATTTGAGTTTAACTTAAAATAAAAATTAAATTATTTAAGATCGTTAAATTAGATTCATTTGTCAAAAAAAAAAAGTTTGACTTTTATGTTTTATTTTAAGTTTGATTATTTGTATTTAAATTTGAATTTATATTCATATATATAAATAAAATAGTAATTTTATAATTAAAATAACAAAAATTATATTAAAATATAAAATATCGATTAAAGTCACGAGTTATTTTGAGTTAAATATTAAAAAATTCGAATTCAACTTATTTAATAAATCAAATTATTTGAATTTAAGTTTGATTCAATAATGATTGAATAAAATTTAAATTTTATTTTAATCGAATTTGAATATTTTTTAAATATTGATGTATTATTTATACATTTACCTTAAAACATAAAGGCAAAATGATGAGTACATTTCGATGTTAGACTCCTCGATAAAATGATATCAAAGTGAAAGTGATAATGAAATAAATTCGATTTGATTTTTTAAATAATATATATATAGAGAGAGAAAATTAAAGTAAATTTAAATAAACAGTGAAATTAAAGTTAGTTTAGTTATTTTAGGGATAAAATTAAAATTATTGAATGTGTGTATCAATGTAAAAGTTACTGTACAGTTCAGATGAATTGTAGTTAAAAAAAAACAAATTGTATTATATAATAAATATTTTTAATTATTTAATATTTATAAAATTAATAAATAATTAAATTATTTTTTATTAAATAATAATTTTTTATTAAAAATATTTACAAAAATAATATATCAAATAAAAAATTTATTGATTTGGCAAGAAAATAAAAAATGAAAAAGGTTTCAAGCTAAGAAAGAATTCTACTACAAAAAGTTTGCATTTTAAGATTATGGTTTTCAGTTATCATCATAGGATAATAAGGTTGTCTATACTTGGTCAATCAAACGGACGGTTCCGATTAGATCAGATAGACTCCAAAATTTTTCGAGGACTAAAACGACTTTTAACCTTCCAAACTCCAGACAGCTTCGTGAACGCATTGTTGACATGAAAATGAAAGCTTCAGAAGCTGAAACATGAGAGCTTGAAGATCTAAAAGAACTTTTTTTTTTTTGGGGGGGGGGTCGAGTTGAAGGCAAAAGGGAGAAACAATGGGGTGTACATTTTCAGGGTTAAATGCATTATACGACGCCGTAAACGGGGGAGGAGACGTTTGGATCAACGACAACAGGTTCAGGATCGTGAGGCAGCTGGGTGAAGGGGGGTTCGCCTATGTTTATCTGGTGAAGGAAGTCATCTCCGATTCCACTTCAGCTGGTGGCTTAGCCAAAAAAGTCAAGGACCCTTCTCATCTTTCTGGTTCATTCCCCTTTAAAAATCTCTCTTTTATCTTTTTAAGGCTTTTATGATTCTTAATTGTTAATTGCTTTCAGTGCCTAATCACTTTGAATCTTCTGTTTACCTCTATGTAATTAGCTGACCCTTTTGGTTTGTGATCTGAAACAAAGCGTTTTTTGCTTTTGTTTGGAAGGTTTTAAGCGTTTTTGTGTAATTTAATTGAATTCATGGGCTCACTGTCTGATATCTTGTTTTGGTTAACTTACTGTGACTAAATTATGGTTTCTTATAGGAAATTCAAGCATTGGTCAATGGAAAATTGAAACCATCTATGGTATTTCCTATGAATTTTCATGGGAAAATTTTGGGGTTCTTTTGTTTTGGCTTATTAATTATACTATGGATCTGAAATTGTCCTCCTTTTTTCTTCTCTGCCCCAATAGCACTCTGATAATCGTATATAGTGGATCACCCTGATTATCAAATTACTATTGGCAGAGTTATAGAACTAAAATTATGGATCAATTGAATCTTTGATCTCAATTCTGTTGGTAAAACTAAGGCATTTGACATTGAATTTCGTACTTAATATGGAGTTAGCTTATCTTTGATTCATGATGGTTTTGACTTCTTTTCTATCAGATTCCAGATTTATGCTTTTTTTATTCATAATCTGAATTTACATCTTAAATGAATTTCTAACTTTTCTTTGTTTGGGGATTTATCAAGGATGGTGACATCTGCTCTCGGGATTTTATTATTTTATTTTAAAAATTGTGTATTCATCAGCTCAAAGAGAAATTTAACTTGGTTTTGGATCTAACTTAATTTGGGTTGCATTGCAGATGATGGAACTTATGCACTGAAGAAAGTTCTCATTCAGAATAATGAGCAGTTGGAATTGGTTCGGGAGGAGATCCGTGTTTCATCCTTGTTTAGTCACCCTAATCTGCTTCCTCTTCTTGATCATGCTATTATTGCTGTTAAGGTAATAGTCAGATATCTTAGTCTAATTAAACTTAAAAACTGTTACATGTGTCTTAAGTGTTTTTGAATTTATTGACTCATTTACCCATAAAATTGGTGTAAAAGTTGCAATGAGAATTATTTTTCAAGATGCTCTCTTGTTCACTTTGTGCTTTTCATGGAATTGTATTTGTCTAAAACAATTTGATTTCATTGGGTAGCCTACACAAGAAGGATCACGGAATCATGAATCATATTTACTATTTCCTGTTCATTTGGATGGAACATTATTGGACAATTCCACAGCTATGAAAGCCAAAAAGGAATTCTTTTCTACCTCAGATGTTCTACAAATATTTCAGCAGGTAAATAAAACAATCTTATCTTTCTGAACTATGTGATGGCATTCGTTTTGTAATATACTTTTAAGGCCTTGAAATACCATTCTTATTTAGATTGAATTGATAACTATATGGAACTTGTCATCAGCGGATCTGATGCATTTCTTTATACTTTAACATCTGGCTTCAATGTTCTAATATTTTCTCGTTTTATGTTTTAGAATTCCTCTTAATAGTTTTTTGGTATTTTTGAATTTCTTGATGTCATAACTGATTAGGAATGGCTGTAAGCATTTTAACTGGACCAAATTATTTCCACAGCTGTGTGCAGGACTGAAACATATGCACAGTCTTGACCCTCCATATGCACATAATGATGTCAAGCCTGGTAATGTTCTTTTAACCCATAGAAAAGGGCAATCGCCTCTTGCTATATTGATGGATTTTGGGAGTACTTGTCCTGCGAGGAAGCAAATTCGTTCTCGTTCTGAGGCACTACAATTTCAGGTGCTTATTACTCTTTATTTTTCCACTCTGCTTAAAAGTCTTCTTATATTTCTGTGCTTCAGAACTTCTTTCTCATCTTTGCTGGAAAATAATCCAAACACTTCTAGTTCCTTAAATCTGTATGCTTGATGTTCTACCAACAAACATATGTGTATTATTCAAAAACATATAAAACGATTTTTAAGTACATATTTGGCTTATTTGTATGATGCATTTACCTTTCCATCATCATAACATAGTTTAAAAATAATTTTTCTAAGTGCCATAATAATTTATTGCATTTTTTGGCGCTATCAGTTATCATCCTTATATCTTCTGCTTAAGTTAATGAAACATTTTAAGGGACATTTTTCTGTCTGTCAGCTTAATGCATTTTCTACCATGCTTATGGTTTGGTTTGGTTTTCATATATAGGAATGGGCATCTGAACACTGTTCAGCACCTTTCCGAGCTCCTGAGTTGTGGGATTGCCCAAGCCATGTAGATATTGATGAGAGAACTGATATTTGGTCATTGGGGTGCACTTTATATGCAATAATGTAAGAATTAATACTTATACATTCTGTCATACAGTGCTTTCATTTTATTAACTTCTTTTTTGCACTTTCTGTCATTTCATCATTGTTCGTAAAGTTTCTTCTTCAAACTAGATGGTAAACAAAGTGTTTGGGGAAGTCTTGTGGCTGGAATCTTATGGGCTTTCTTCTGGCTTAATCTAAGGAGTAGATTTTAAGTATTTGATGTGAAAGTTCTATAATACTAAAAACAAGACATCTGTATTTTCATGAAGTTGTCCATTGGCATGGGTATGAAGAGCGATGATTGCATCCAACCTAATTAATTGAGATTTGGCCCTGGACAAGTGTTTGTAGCCCAAAAAACATTTTAGTCACACCAAATAGGCATAATTGCATGCTACAAAAATGGGAGATTGTAATGCCATCTGCTTCAACAAAAATGACCTTGTGAAAATTATGGTCTTGGAAAAAGGGTGAATTGAATCACAGTAGCAGTGGCTAGACAGTAGTTTAAAATATCTTTACAGGTTGTTCTTCTGCTTATCTATAGTTTGCCATGACATCTTTTACCAGTCTCTAGACGAGAAAATCAGTTATAATACGCTAGTAATCCATTCATATAAGCTCATTTACTAGAACTTGATACATTTATAGTGTTAATCATTAGTGAGTTAGCAGGAAACTCACAGAAAGTGGGGCCTACTAATTTGTTTTTTGATGATAGTTTGATAAAACTCTCCTTTTTGTGGAGTTTCACGTTTTCCTTCCTAAAGCTAAAGTCTTCTAATAAAATTTTTTTTTTTCAAGTGTCATGTGTTTCTGGCTTGCACTGTCGCTCCTTATACCTTGGATGTAATGTAACTGCTGTCAAGTAACAAGTTACATCAATTGTAGGATTTGTACCTTCATGTGGTACTATAATTTCTCTTCGGAACGAATGCTTTTTGAAAATGCTTTTATTCTCTGCAATGAACCTTTTCGGCATATGTAGTTAGCAGCTTTACTTATCTAATTATGGTATTTATTGTCATTTGTTGCAGGTATGGGGTATCCCCTTTTGAGTATGCACTTGGAGAATCTGGAGGAAGCCTGCAATTGGCCATTGTAAATGCACAGATCAAGTGGCCAGCTGGACCTAAACCGCCATATCCTGAAGCTCTTCACCAATTTGTTACTTGGATGCTTCAGCCTCAGGTAGCCATTCGCCCCTGCATAGATGATATCATAATTCACGTTGACAAGTTGATCTCAAAGTTTTCACAGTGATATCATATGGGGAGTGAGAAGAAAAGGGCATTCAACCAGTGATGTACAAGATGACCCATGTCTTTTAATTACTTCAGAGGTGAAAACAATATCAGTTCCTTATTAAAAGTTATTACATAGATAATCCTTTTTGGTGTAGTTGTGCCTTAATTCGTTTGTCATAACTATTGAACTTCATGATCTGTAATTTATTGAAGTCCATATCTCCCTCTCTGCATCCAAGATTCAATTTTTATAGGAAAACCTCAATAATTTATGTTATCCATTTGGTTTATATTTCAGGTACCTCGGTTTTTTGGGTTGCAGACCTATATAAAGTTAATAAAGCATGCTTCTTTTAAGATTTCTTTCTGCAAAAATTTTCCTTTTTTTTATTTTTTATTTTTTATATTCTTGTCAAAGTTTGAACTTTGATTATTGAATCTAAACCCGCACTCTATGGTTGTAAGATTTTGATTGTCTGTTTGGAATAATTAAAATCACACTAGGATTTCCAAGTTGCGAGAAATTCAGTTCATACATGTTCTAGCCACTTTTTATTAAAAAAATTATTTAAATTAAAATTTGTAAAAAAAAATTTGCTAATGATATTTTAATTTATTAAATACATTTTAATTAATCATTTTTACCCCTTTTAAATTTAATTATAAAAAAGAGTCTCTTAAAAAAAATCTACTTTAAATATTTTATTCAATCACTTTTAACACTTTTATAATTGAAGTTTTAAAATTGTAAGTAATTTAATTTCATATAGATTCTATTTTTAATTTTAGTTGATTTAAATTAAACTTAAATATATTAATAAAAATTATAATTTAAAGATAAATTTATTAATTTAAAAATTTATAAGAGTATTTTAGTTGATTTTTTTAATAAATTAATAAAAATTATAATCTAAAGATAAATTTATTAATTTAAAAATTTATAAAAATATTTTGATTAATTATTTTTAATATTTTTAGAGTTTACATTTTTATTATATATATAATATAATATATATAATAATATACAGATATAGGTAAATGATATAAAATATATATATATTTAGAGAGAGAGAGAGAGAGAGAGAGAGAGAGAGAGAGCATCTTATCTGCTTAATTGTCAACATGTATGAGACGGATATACCCTTGTCATTAAGTTGGTAGATTTCTGTTATTCACATCATGCCTCGTTTACTCTTTATAAATACAAATTTGAGGTTGAAAACATGACCATAAAAGCACACCCTTCTAAAGAAAAACATTGAACTTGTTACACTTATTTGCTCAATTAATACGGTCAATTCCTTTGAACGCCTTGTCAAAGCACATCTAGCTATCATATCACTTCATCATAAGATTGACTCGTTCTTCGTCAAGGAAGGATTTGCCCAATATCTTCGCTAATATCTCATCAAAATATTATTTTAGAATTAAATATTTAATTTTTAATATAATTGAAATCATTAAGTATGATTTACATTTACATGAAATCATTAAATATAGTTTGTAATAATTTACATAAATTTTTTTTTAATTTCATATAAATTTATTATCAACTGTCAACTATTTCAATCAAATCATCATTTTTCCTCTTATATAAGATAAAAAAAATATCTTAAATATATAAGATTTAAGCATTTTTCATCCATTATAGCTTTTCTAACACACGTCACCTAAACATCTTATTGATTTGAGCGTTCGAACACATCTCGACAAATCAACTCCAATCCTCTAAGATCGTACTTTTTAGCTGCATGTCCAGATTTCATCACCTACAACCTTAAGCCAGTTCTCATCCAGCTAAAACATCCAATAACACCATTAACAGAAACTTAGAAATATGAATATAATCCAAGTGACTCCTTTAAGGTTGAAAACAACAATTCCATGTATTCACAAATGTTTCATGATACCTTGTAGAGGAGTAGCAACCATATATATGTAGAAAGTGAAATTCTATTTACACTTATAAAATTTCTTTTACACTCTGTTATTCAATACACTTCACTTTCAAAATAAAAATTTTTAATTTTTTAAATGCAATTCATCAAACAAAAATCACATTTTCTTTTATATCTTTTTAAGTCTCTTTTTCACTCTAAACCTTATAACCTTAAATTTCAAAATTCATTTTAATATCATCAAACTAATCCTTAAATTACAAAATTTTTTAATATTTTACTTATTACAGATAAGGTTTCAAGATTTTTATTTATTAATTTAGTTGAAATTGTATAAAAGTTAGAATTTCTACTAAATTTTTTTGTTAAAATTGTATTTTTCGAAAATAAATTTTAGATATTTTTAAAAGATATTCGAAAATCTATTTTTGAGAGTTTTAAAAATTTTTCAAAAATTCATTTTCAAAAAGCTTTTAAAGTTTTGAAAAATGAATTTTCAAAAAGTTTTAAATATGGGGTGCAATAATGTAATATTGTAATTTATTAAATGACAAAATTAATATTTTTATATGAAAATTTTTGAAAAAAAAAATATTCCGGGTGTAGAAAGAAGAATTAATGGTGTATTTAGAACTCCCCGATGAATAAGGAATGGTCTTACTTTGGGATATTGCCATGGCAGTCACAATGATTACTGAATAATCTGTGATCTGCTTCCTGAAACTGATGCATTGGAATTGGTTGGACACAAAGATACCACGAGTCTGATGGATTTCGTGAATGTTGCTAGCTTTAGCATAAAATATGAACAATAACAATGAAAAATATTAACAATTCATTCTAGTAAAACATATTCAAATCAACTATTAGATCCTTTTTATTTATTTTTTTATTTAACCCTTGTTGGAAATTAATCAAATTACTAGGAATATTATTGCATAATCAAATTGCATCCGACTCTCCTCCATTATTTTTCTATCCATTACTTTTCAAACCGAAAAAAAATGTATCTGATTGAGACTTGTGCATGCAGCTGTTAATCCTTTGCTTCCAAAGAAATAAACCACTCACCAATCAACTAATGTGAATCTGTCACAGTTTGTGTGCAAGTCCTAAGCCGTCGTGAGATGTAACTTGTTCGAGTTGGTGCAAGCGAAAGACAAGGAAGGATCTAGAATAATGACGCAGGCAGACAGGCACAGAAGACTCTAGATCGATCAATCTGAAAACAGATCAGGCACACGGACACAGAAGGGTATGGAGATAAGTTTAAGCTCTCAGCCCTTGACAAAAATACGTGCTTAAAGGAGTCAGAACAGATTGCAGACTGTAAATGATAGAAAGGAGATGGCGTAAACAGCCCCTGTACAGCATTGGAGCCAGAAGGGAAACGGAATTGCAATAGCTATGACAAATGCTGTCAACATGAAAAAACCACCCAGGCGCTCCAACCTTCGAGCTATCTTTTGAAACTTGGAATTGATACAATATTTGCCAACACAAAAAGAAGTGAAAGCCAACAGAATTGCCAGGGAAAGAAAGATGAAAGTTACTGGAAGTCGTCTTTCGGCAAATAAGATGGCTATTTCAATGGATGATCCCAAACAAAAAGGTACTATTATTTTTTCCCTGGCAAAGGAATTCTGTGAATCCTGTACCGGCAATGCAGCCGGCTCGGCCCCCAATTCAAGGTCGACGACGGGAGGCGGCAACCGTGGTGGTGCAAATCTTGTTAACAAGGGAAGTACTTTTGTCACATATTGGGAAAGAATATATACTTGTAAAGCATTTGCCATACATGTAACAGAGAAAAGATAAAAGTGGAAATTAATTAGGCCTTTTATGAATATCTTCCGAAACATTATCAACTTGTTATATACTACATATCTTGTTTGGACTTTGGACGGGGATTGTGGAGTTTCGGATAGGAAAATTGATATTGGTAAAGTCTTGATAAATTTCCTAGCCCATTCCAGAAACAAAAATACTGGGCGGTTTGGATGTCTGGCACCCTTCTTCGTAACTACATGTATCGATAATTTGTGTATTTATATCATATAAGATATTAAAATTTATATATTTATATTATATTTTATATAAAAATTATAAATTATATTAATATAAAAATATAAAAATTATTTTTTATTTTATTAAATTTATATATTTATTATTAAAATTTTAAATCATATTATTTTTATATTTTATATTTATATTATATTATCTTATTATATTTTAAATCGTAAGATTTAATGGAAACTTATTATGTACTTCATTTCCACCGCGGTGGGGGGTCGGTTCCTTCTTTTCACATTTCAGAGTTGGTCGGCCAGCTACCTGTACAAACTTTTGATGACTTTACGTGGCTTTTATAGTTTGACTAAAATACCTTACTTGTTAAAAGGAATTTAATTAAAATTTTCAATTTTCAATTTAGAGATTTCTGAAATTATTTAAAAAAAAAATTGAATGAATGCTTACAAGTTAGAGTGAATAGGAATAGCTTCCACAAGTGATTTATTAATAAAATATTAAAATTTTATTTTTTAATTAAAATTCAATTTAATAACACAAAATAAAGAAAAGAAAAATTTTACCTTATAATTAAAGGTGAGATTGACTAGAGGTAAATGGTGTTTGACATATACATCATTAAAATTAAATTTCTCAATAATTTTTTAATTAATATTCATTTAATAATTAAAATTAAAAATTTAGTATTTTATTAACAAATAAAAAACTATTGATAATTTTATTAATTTTATTATAATAATTATTTTTAAATATTATCTTATATTTATTATATATGATTTTTATTTAAAAAGGTATTATTATTATTGAGTTTTTTTCTTAATTTATAGGTCAAATTATGTTAGAGAATCTTATATTTTGTGAAAATTTAAAATTTGATCTTTGTATTATAACTCGTATAAATTTAATTATTGTATTGTTTTGATTTGATAATTTTAATTTAATTATTAATTTCATCAATTTTTATCATTAAAAATGTTGATATGATATTAATTTTGTAAATGTTACGTTAATTTATTGACATGATAATTATAATTAATAAAATTATTTGTTAATTATGCGAATAATTTTTATATTCATGCAAAATTTAAAATTTAGTCTATAAACTCATATGAAATTAAAATTTTTTTAAAATTTTAAAATATTTTTTATATTAAAAAAATTTAAATTTAAATTTCCAAATATAAGGATTAAAATTTAAATTTCATATCATTATAAAAAATAAACTTCAAATTTCGAATTAGTACATATTCATTTACATAATTTAATAATTATTTTTATACATTTAATTATTATATTAATAAATCAATGTTATGTCAATAAAATCAATGATAAAAAATTAACAAAATTAATAATATTAAAATTATTAAATTAAAATAATATAATAATTAAATTTATATGAATTAACGGATTAAATTTTAAATTTTTGGAAAGCATAAGAACCTCCTGCATAATTAGACCTAATTTAGAAGCTAAAAAAAAGAACCAAGGAGTAGCGGCTGGAGCCCAGCGGCCGTAGAGGAGATTTGTCAGTGAAGAGTCGAGATAATCTGCAAAAGGGAAGCGGAAATTTCTCTTTTGAAGAAATATGGCGAGCGCGAGTCTACCATCTTCTCCACCTCCGCCATCACCTCCTTCCATCTCTGCTTCCCATTCTGAGTCCTCCGCCACTCTTCCCACTGCTCTAGTACCCCCTCAGCCTCAGGTTGAGGCTGCTGTCGACAATGGAAACCTCAATGTCGAAGACCTAAAGCCTCAAATTGCTGATCATTTTGCGTGAGTTAGTTCCTTCAATTCCTTTTAAATTTGAAGCTTTTATCTGGGTTTTTTTTTCTTTTTTAACATGCCTTTCCTTATGAGTGTTAAACGTCTCTTTCATCAATCATTGTTTTGTTTTTCTTTTACCATTTTTGTTCAGTTTAAGTAGGTATTTTGTTACCTTATAAAATTTCATTCAAGAACCTTTTTACTTCGATCCACTTGGATGTAATTTCTTCATATCTCTTCGAACCATGTAACTTTGAACCTGGGTTTAATCCAAATGGCTCACCCATTGCAAGCCTGGGTTCAATCTCCAGCGCTTGCAAGTCTCCTTTGCCTAACCTTAGACTTGGGCCTCCCTTTGTACGAAAGAAGTATGTAACTTTGATTGGACCCAGTACTCGAACCGTAATTTCCAGTTTATGTGAATGATTGTGAAGAAAAAAACATCAGCTTTGAACCAGTTATTAGCTGTAATTGGAACATTTTTTTCAAAAAAAAATGTAAAAATGAATTTAGACTAATATTTTGATGATTAGAGAATAACCAAGTTGTATAATAAACAGTTTTGATCATTACAAGAACAGCATTCCTGGGTGGTGATTTGGTAATCCTTTAAAAACAGCAGAATAATTCATTAGCACATGGTAATTCTTGAAATGCGAGCGAAATTTCCAAAATGGGTGATGAATGTCGCGACAATGGTTGAAGAGGGTTTTGCCATTTTATATATTCTAGTTTCGAATATAATTATTTAGACCCTGCCCTGTGTTTTCCATCCCCTGTTTAAATGGAAAAACATTTTTTCTCACTTCCAGGAAATGCTAGTTGGAATGGTTTTACATCTGTTATATCACTGTTTCATTGTCTTTCTAATTATGAATTCTTCTTTTGCTTGAACAAGGTTTTAAATTGTATGTGGTATAGATTGTTAGTGTTAATCTGGAGGCTCGATGAGTTTGTTAGGAGCATCTTTTGTTTAAATTATGTTATGCTGGTATTTGTATTCTAGGTAGATGACAGACAATATATTGCTGAATCATTATAGTCTTTTGGGTGGTGTATATCTAAATGGATTTGCAGTTGTCCATAATGCTACTAGGTATTCTGCAAATTGCTTAGTATTTATTGAAAGGTTTAATCACCAGTGAGTGCATGACATTGACTACCCATAAGTTTATGAGGGCGTTGAAAGTCCCAAATAACTGAAAAAGCTTGGTGGTACCATTCATGCATTGGTATGCAAGCAGATTTATGAATAAATAACTGTCTTTACTTCAGTGAATCATCAGTTTCTCGCTATTTTGAGCATAACTTTGCTCTCCAAATGACACCATATTGATTAAAATGCATGAGAAGCAAATAGCTCCATGTTTCAGTTTAGAGCCATAGTACAAAGAGATAGGAGTAAAGTCTTATAAACAATAAACTCATAATATCCTTGAACAAGGTGTGTTTAGTTATCGCATTTAAAGAGGATGAAACCTGAATGGGAAAAAGCTCTGTACAAGAATTTTATGGTGTGTTTAGCTCCAATTAACATTTTGTCATTTGGAGTTAAATGCTATATCTTGAATATTTTCTTTGTACGGTTAAAGAGTGATTCTATTTTGAGCTTGGCATATCACCATGGTAACCTGATATGCTCCCATTGTGGTTAGGGTACTTGATAATCCAGAATACATTGAGAAGTACAAGAAATATGAGGCTGACTACACTCATCGATTGATGGCAAAGTATTTCTCTAAGAAGAATTTTTATGGAGGTATACATTGCTGCTGCTGTTTTGTTCTGCCTTGAACTTTACATTCTATTTTCCCGTACAGTATGTGTATTAAGTGGATGAGTAGAACATGATTCCTATCGTTTTAATCTTTCAGGCAACATTTTTGATGAGAAAACAACAATAGATAGTGAGACGATATTGTCAAGCAGGTAGGATGAAATTTCTTTCAACATTCATAGCTTAGAATGTCTGGTGCTGAATCATAAAATGGATCTGCCTTTGAACAACTTTGTGTAGGTGGCCTTGCACTAGATCATTTGCAGACCCAGCTCATGCATTTGAGGATCAAAGCAATGGTGGTTCAATTTCTGAGGCAGAAACCCCAACTAACATCTCAAACGGGAAACTCCCACTCAAAAAGAATGCCTGACAGTACAATTGATGGCATTCCCGCAATATGGTATTGTATGTAAATAAGCATGGATAATGTAGACCAAAAAGCTATTTGAAGTAATAGACCCGAAGTTTTCTACAATTTGTCATGTTCTGTTAGCAAATGACTTTTGTCAATGCCTATATGTAGCAAATAGCATCGATTATTATATCATATCCATTGCAAAATGAAAAGGGAATTTCAAGCAATTATTTTGGGAGAGGGATCTGGTGACTGGTGAGGTTGCAGACATAAGTATGAGAATAATCATAACAATAATGAAACAATGATAATGTCAAGCTTTTTGGGAGGAAAAGTAAAGACTTCTGAATCCTGACAGGTTTTGAGCTGTTCCAATTGCATAGGAGTAGTTTTTTAAAATTTGAGGTCGGATCAGGTGAAAATCAAGATCGGATCGAGGTGGTATAGTTTTAATTTTTGAAAAAGTGATCAACCCCACCGAACACAACACTACATTTAAATTTACTCACTTGATTTTGATACCCAAATTGCATAATTACAGCAATTTAGTTCTTGTTTCCAAACAAGTTCTTAGTTGTGCAAAAAAAGGCAAATTGTTGATTTACATGGGTAATTCCCATAGGGCCTTCCTTACCTATCCTCAAGAACTAAAATCAATTTTCTCTTTTTTCAGTAAAAATGATTGATATCCTAACACCATAACCGATCATGTACTAAAACATAATTGCATAAATCGAATCTGTTAGGATACTTTGCTCTAGTATTACTTAAAATCTGAATCAACCTCGTTAACACTTTTTAACTGATGGCACCTGCTTCACTGTTCTGGATTATCAGGTACAGATTTGATGAGCAGATCTTCTGTCATGAAGTTGACAAGGGAATGGCGAACCAAACTGTGCAACGGGTCCTATAGTGGTGCTCATATTCTGTCATAGACTAGCAGGTTCCAAGTTCCAAACTCAAAAAGTTTTCCTATCATCTGGATTTTTGCATGTAATAGCTTTTTAATTAGAGAATCCCATTAATTTTGTACTTGGATATTGTTTCAACATGTGCTTTCACAATCCAAAGAAACAAACAGAATCTGAAAAATATATAGTGCATAGTCTGTAGGAAAGTAGTAAGGTATATATCCAATTCATCGGGAAACCTATAAAACTTGATTGTAGTACGAAATTCAATGAGGGAAACCTTGAACCAGAATTTAAGTATGCCAGACGTCCAGGTAAGCATTGATATTCTTAAATATAACTCTAAGTTTCTAACATTTAAATCTTTTGATGGCTGGTCTTTAACACATTAACATTAACCATAACCTTTGTATATTGTACCTGAGTTCATAATCACAATTCATATATACCAGCCCCATGCTTGATACTTTCTCCCCCTGAATTTCACTATTCATTGCACTAACCCAGCAGCTGAATACTCAAATTGCTTTAATGGAGTAAAATCCTGATGAATATTATAAATTTTGACATATGCTTGTCTGAGGAGTTTATTATGTATTAAACCATATATGATTACAACCGTAATTCCAATGAGGCGTGTAATGATTTCTATACATTAAATTACATGAACAAAAGAAACCCATAGGATTCCAGCTCCAAAACAAATTTATCATTCATTTTAACCTCAAAAGTTGTTATATACCCCAATTGACTGGTATCTGCATCTCTAATAAGACGATTTATGTTCCAGGGAGGTGTATTCCGGATTCTTCAGAGTTGTAAACACATCGGCAAGTACCATATGAAGAGTAGAAACTTTCTCTTTGAGCTGAGCATTCTCTTGGAGGATCTCGTGGTTGCTGTCCAGGAGATTGATGAGCTTTTGTGAAAGCTGACCATTAATTGTTTGAAGTTGATTAACCTGTGATTTGAGCTCTTCAATATGTTGCTTCTTTCGCATCCTTGATATTCTCGCAGATTCTTTGTTAGATATCATTCTCCTGAGCCTCTTGTCATCAACAATGCTTGGTTGATAATCTCTTGCGTCATCTTCAGTGCTGAGAGATGAGAAATTTGTGCTGGAATTAGGATGATGAGATGAGTTTCCGTGCTGTTGGACATGGTTTACAGCAATTTCCCAGGACTCCATGTTTAGAGGAGTTTCAGAGGTATATGTTTTCTGTGAGGGAAAGAAGGCAAAGAAATTTTGAATTGGCCTTGCATGAGGTTGATCACAAGGCCCTTCGAAATCAGGCTCTTCAATCTGGCTTGAACATTTAGGTGGCTGAGAGAAAAAGTCTGAAGATGGAATCAGGGTTCTATAGGTGAGAACTTATTGTGCAAGCACATTCTGCTCCTTTTAAATGCATGATCTCTTCAGAAATCAAACTACCTCTCACTCTCTTGTAATTCATTAATGATGCTTATAGGGTAGGTAGGCATATTAGAATGAAAAGAAAGATGAGTAATGGACAACAGAAATTTGACAGGTTAAATGTGTACTAGTAAAAGGGAAAAAGGTAAATACCTCTATATTTTGAGCAATGAAAATCATGGTCTGTTTGTTTTGTTTATCATTCCCTGTTAGAAGTTGAAATTTTGATGCCTCCATGTCAGAGAATAGTATTCCTGAATATGACTTTCGGCAATAATGTTTGCAAGACTTTCGGCCATCAGGATTTTAACTATGATCATAACTAAAAGTCTAGCTTTCTATTAATAGATTACGCATTGTTGGTTGGACATATTCTTTGTTAAGTGATTATGAGAAGTTCTATTTTTATGAAATGCTAGGTAAATTATTTTTAGTTTTAGCCTAGAGATGGTAGCTCAATTTGTGCCCGACGGATTTCAACCCGACTAGAACTCATAAAATTAGTTTTGTTTTTTTTAAATAGAGTTTTGAGTGGGTAATAGTAAAAAAAAAAAAGTCAGATTGAATTTTAGATAAATTTGTGTCGACTCAACTTGATATATGTTATTTTTTAATTATTTATTTAATTTTATATTTATATTATATTTTTTATATTTAATTTAAAAAATATTTTATATTAAAAATAATATTTTATTAATTTCGGATCGAATCAAGTCGAATTTATGATTTTTTTTTTAAATCAAATTAGATTATGATATTATGAGTAAAAGTTAAGTCGAGTTCGAAATAAACAAAAATTTGATAAACTGGACCAATTGTCATCTTTAGTCTGGCCTACGGTTGGCAATGGGTTGGGTTGGAGCGGGTTTTTGCTCGTCTCAAACTTAATCCAATTTTTATAACTATAAAACCCGTATCAATACTCGTACCTAACCCAAAAAGTTTTTTTTTTTTTTTTTTAAATTTCCAAACTCGATATTGTATAAACAGTATCCGATTTGACTCGAAATTAATAAAATATTATTTTTTAAAATATAAATATATATAAATAAAAAATTAAAAAAAAATTTATAATAATATCGGATCAGGTCGGATTTGTCTAAAACTCAAACCTGACCTCGATTTTTTTTTAATAATATCCGACTCGATTTGAAATCCAATTTAAAAAAAAAAAAATTGACCCTATGAGTCGGGTCGAGTTAAAATTCGTCGATTCCGGATTAAGTTGTCAACCCTAATCTGGCCTTAGGATTCTCTTTAGACTTTATTATCTTTTAGTCTCCTTTCACTTGAATTGCCATCTATACTCCAGATTCAAAAGCATTGTCGGTTACAACTTTTTGACAAAATATGTTTTAAGAGAATAGAAACGCAACCATGTTCAAATGTGATTATTTCTTTCCAAAGCTGGAAATCTGAATTGGAGAAAGTAATTATCATCACCAAAAATGGTCCCTTCCCTTGAAATCTTCTACATAAATACTTTGAAGATGCAACTTTTAAATGCTCCAATCTCTGGAAAGTTAATGTGATAAAGGGGTTGCAAATTGCAACTCTAGTTTCTTTCGCTTGTTCTTGCAAACTAACTCAACAATGAGACTCCCTATCACTTTATGGAACATGTTCATGTCCTGCATATGTTATTACCACTTAGGTTTCGTGTTTTGCACAAAATAACAAATACGAATACATGAATTGAGAGATCTAGGGAAAGCCAATAGCAATAGTAGATATTTAGACCATCCTCCTGTATAAGTTAGAATGTTAGCCCGATGCCTTCTCGGGAAAGTCCTTGTCTTATATATGAAATCATAGATGTGAACCAGGTAGTGTCTTTACAGGAATTCTGTGCAGTTTCTATTTGTCAAAACACAAAGGCACACGCGAAGTAAAGATTTTTGAAAAATTCTTCCAGGGAAGGTGTAAAAAAGGGAATGCATGTGGATTTTAACCAGAAGTTGATGACATTTTCAGGTGACTTGTAATTCAAGAAGTTTGTTTACTAGAACAGGAATGTGCAACAATGGAGAGGATAATGGCTGCTCGGTATAAATGACTTCTATCATGTTTTATCATTGAGAGGTTGGAATTGCTGGCAGGCAACTACTTTTGCCATTTCTTTTTGATTCTTCTCCTTTCTTACATTGATAGAAAACAACTTTTTTATATTGGTATAATCAAACATGGGTGACCTTAGTAACAACAAAGTAATGCTATGACTGATATTAACATGTCATTCATTCAAGTTGCCACATGTTAATCAGATCTGTCCATAGATTGGACCAAATTTGTTGCCCAAAGCTTGACCCAGCCTGTTGAGCCTGAATATAGGTTATTACATTTCAGCCTGTGCATTGCTTTGAAGCTAGAGAAACTTGGGAAGAAATTTTAATGTTATTGTCTGGAACTTATAGAAAGGAAACCTGGCAACCTGTTTTGATACAAGTTTTTCTAATCGAATTTGAATAGTTTGATAACTTCTGCCTTTTCAAAAACTGTTCAAACTGTAGTTTATCAGCAGCAACCCCATAGACAGCAAATTTGATTGAATCTGATGCATGGAGCTTGACAGAAATCTATAGAAACCTGTCATGTTTAGTCAAAAATCAAATCCTGCTGACATCAACGAGTAGATTTTTCAGTGCCCTGAGGTTGTTTAGTGAGATGATGAAAGCAGAACTTCATTTAGACGTAGGTAATACTAGGACACTGGTAGAACATCTGTTCCAAGATCAGGTTAGATTGAATCTGAGGCAAAGGAGTATAGACTTGTGCCCCAGTGTCCGTAAGCACATCCAAAGATTGAAAAATTAAAAGGAAAATTTGTAGAAAATTCTTAGACATTCGTAATTTTTTTTTTTTGAACACTGTTTCTATTGATAAAATTAGTAAATTTATCATTATTTTTAATATATATTATGAGTAAACACTAGAGAAAAATTTTTTTTCTGAATCACTTACTGTCAGCTGCCTGGTTATTTTGAAGCTCAAGGAAAACAAGTTACACGTCAACATCGACATGATTTCAATCCTTAGAAGAGTAAAATACCATAAAGCACTCTCGGTGCCTTGATCTGCAGTTTACACAAGCTAAGAAATGTCTTAGCATACAAGACTTAAAGGAATAATCTAGCTACTAAAATTACAAATTTAAGGCCAGAACTCAATTGGCCAAAAAAGTGTTCTTATTCATGTCCAAGGAACAATCTAGTGGTTTAAGGTCATTAAATGTGGGTATGCTCCAGCATTTTAATGATTTATAAAATCTCAACCCCCTATTTTCTTTTGCCAAATACTTCTTGACACCACCTCCTACAAATTTATTCTCATTAAGTTACATCATCAAATCCCCATGTCAATCATGTATGACAGACTAAATAAGAAAAAACCATGCATCTCTTCAGCTGATCTCATACAAAAATCATCTGACATAGTCCTGCCAACTTGAGTAGATTAACAAGATCCATTTCCAATTCATGAACATGGCTATCCAGATCATAACTTCAAATCTGAACTATGATATTAACACAAGTATAGAGAATATTAGCTAAACTAGATCAAACAAATTAGAATGAAATATTGTCATTCACATAACATAAAATCCTGAATTCCAGAATAATCACGTATTTGAGATAGGATAAAACAGAATTGAAGCAAAATAATATCAGTGCACAGGCAAGACAACCAGTCAATGCATAAATAATGGCAATTATTCCAACCAAAAACCCCTCAAGGTACAATTCAGTCATTGAACATTCTTATACCACAAAAAGGATTAAAAGAACATATCAAAATACTTATAAAATTGTGAAGAATGATAAGACAAGAACCTCCACAAAGACATTGATTCTCTCCAGCAACAATATCTACATTCTTAACAACCTAGCACTCAACCAAAAAGCTTCAAAATCACATGTGACCATAAATTACCATTACAGTGCACCAGCAGCTCTTAGGGACCTTCTCCTTTCATAATCAGCATCATCTGTAGGCAACTCATGACGACAAACAGGGCAAGTATTCCTTATCCCCAGCCAGGGTATAATGCAATCTCCATGGTAGCGATGAGCACATGGCAGCTGCTTCATCTTTTCACAAAGGTTAATCTCATCCTTACACACTGCACAAAGTGCATTATCATTCACCAAATCCTCCTGAGTCACAACCACAGAAGGAAGACTCTCAACTACAGATTTCGCTGCTGGAGGCCTCCCAATAAATGCATTCTCATTCTCAGCAAACTGTCCAAACAACATTTCATATTCTGCAGTATAGATATAATCATCACGATCTGCAAAAAATGGCTCAGCATTCTCATCCATTTCCGGGGTCGTTTCCAAATTATTAGCATTCAACAAAACCTCCCACCCCAACGTCCCCACCTCAGCTGCCCTCTCAAAAGTAACCGTGTCTTCAGGTCCAATGATAGGGGAAATGGAAAGCGAAACTGAATTCTCATCATCATCATCATCACCATCAACAAGCACACTTAAAACCTCCCTCTCATCAACCCCACCATCCACTTCCTCCCACTCAAAATCCTCATTTGTCTCCCTAAGATCCTCCAACTGAAGCGAATCCCAACAAAGCGGAACAGTAACACTCACATCATCATCATCAATATCATAATCATCATCCACATGAACATCAATTCCACAATCATCCCCTGAATTCAAATCAATGGTTAGCTCCCCATTAACAGTCTCATTCTCATCATCATCTTCCGAATCGAATCTAAACCCAACAGTCTGAATATTGTCCCCAAAGATTTCAACACCACTAAAATTAGAAGCTGCCTCACTACCACTCAACCCAGAAACCCTCCTTTCCACGAAGAATTCGTCGTCGTCGTTGTCGTCATCGCCACCACCAATATCAATCTCAATATCACTCTCATGAGTATCCATCGAATCAAACCCTAACGCTAACCCTAAATCTAGCTCATGATTTCCCTCAATAACACCGAAATCGATTACAGCATCAGAAACCAAATCAGCGACATTTAATTCATCATCATTGCTAATATTAAAATCATTACCGTTACCGGAATTGGTACTGGTATTGGGGGTATTATTGGAAATAACCAGCGATTGTTCGAGTCGTTGGTGGAAGAGATCGATAACGAAGTTGACTTGGTTCTCGCGGCGATCGAAGAGATCGGGGCTGTTGATAATGAAGGAATCGGGGTGTGAAACGTCGTCGTCTTGGAGAGGTAGATCGGGGTCGGAAGAGAAGAAGTGGAACTCGTGAGACCAATAAGGGAGGGAATCCAAGGTTATTGTTTGGTCCTCGTGGTGGTGATGAACGACGTCGTCTTCTGGGTCACGAAGGTGAAGGAATGAAACCGACGCCATTTGCTTTCTGTTTCGATGAAATGATTTGAAAAAAAAAAAAAAAACTTTGAACTGAATTAAGAGAGAGATGACGTTAAATGGGGGTTGAGTTAGGTGGGAAATTACATTTCTGTACGTATAATTTCGGGTATAGAGTATGGACCTTTTTTTTTTTTTTTTAGTTTTTGTGTTTATTAGTTTTAACTTTTACCATTCATTTTTTTTTCAAGTTTTATTTTCTATGAATGTGATTTAAGTTTGCTATTTTAGGAGATTCAGTAAATTTGGTAATTTTTTTTTGGAATTACTATTGAAATTTAAATTAGAGACTCTCAACTTTAAAATCAATTATAATATTAGTAAATTTCAATGGTCATGTAAAAAAAATTACAATCTAAAATTGACTCCAATATTATTGAATTCAATTGTAATATAAAAAATAATTCAAGGTAATCAGAAGCTGCTTGTGATTTAATGAAAACAACAGTAAAAATAAAATTAATTACTGTCACATTGAAATTATAAACTAAAACAATTACATCTCTTGCTCGTGATTAATTAAGCAACGAACTGTGATTATTTTAAATTGGTTAGAATGCTTTAAGAAACAAATGAGCTCAGCTGCTACTTCTTAAATGCATTTCTTAAATAATTCTTTTTATTTTTTATATGAATATTATTTAAGGTATTTTTCAACCATAAACATCTTAATTCTTGATAATTTTTTAAAAGAGATTATTTTAAACATTTTTTGTTGAAAAATACCTTAAATAATTCTGTTATATTTTTTAAAAAAGATTATTTAATACATTTTTCATTTAAAACTGCATTAAAAGAATCCATTTATAAAAATATAAAAAGATTATTTAAGGTATTTTTCATACACAAACGCCTTAAATAATTTTGCTATTAAAATATAAATGGATCATTTAAGGTGTTTTTATAAGTGAATACCTTAAATGATCATTTTTAAAGGTTCATTCCCCATGCCTGAATCTTGAAAAATCAAATAGCTAATACAGTGAACGATAAAAAACTACATTGCATGTGAACCCCTAAACTATCAACTTATTTAGTTGGCCTTTTGGTTTCTCCATCTCTCTCATTGCCGTTGACCGTCAACCACTCAATGCCATCGCACCTCTTTTTCATCGGTGCGTGCGTATTTTATTCTTTTTAATACTATTTTTCTAGTTCAATATAAGTATTTTTTTTTCTTTTCTTGCTATATATATTTTTATTTTATGTCTTATGCATATTCTACCGTCACCTAAGTCGTCCAACTGCCCTTCATTACATGCATGGTGTTTTTTTGGTATTTGGTTTAAGTATTGTGGTTCGTTAAATATTTTTATGAAAATTAGTTTTATATTTGTACTCATCATTTGTTTTGCATGAAACTCTTATTTAAGGTGAAAACCACAATATGGCTTGTGCCCGTAAAATATTATTGGTTGTAAGATGTTTTATATATATTGGTTTAATAATTATAGTGGATATTGGTTGTTTTTTATTATGTGATATTTAGAGAGAGTTTGGTGTATTTTGTATAATTATGATCAAAATTACAAGTATTATAGAATCCGAAGAACATATGTCTCTTGCTACTAAACATGAAGAAAACATACCTATAGTGAAAAAAAGAAAAGCAAGGGGACATGGTAAACAAATTAAAATGATTAACACGAAAATTCAACTCAACTTCAATTAAAGTGGGCAACCTATGTTGAATGGAGCTACCAAGTTAGCTAGTCACATTGGAGCAGTCATCCTTTTTGGTATTTCTATTACATATCATAATTGGCATCGAGTTCCTGATGAACAAAAAGATCGTATATGAAAGTCAGTTATGGTATATTTATTCAATAATATCTAAACATTTGTTTTTAGTTAGAAATTTAATTGAAATAATGTGTTCATACTAATTGTTTTAAATTTATTAAGAATGATTTGACGTCCCAAATGAGTATAAAAAGCTTGTATTACAATCCGTTAGAAAAATATTTAGAAACTTTAAGAGCAGATTAACAACCCAATATATTTTACTATTTGCTAATAACAGTGATTTGTTGGCCAATTCTCCGTTGTCATATGTAAATGTTATCAGTTATCAAGAGTGGATGCATTTTGTTCAAAATCCTCTATCAGAAGAATTCTTGGTATTCATACCCATTTTGTTAATTGTTTATAATATTTTGTGTAATATATTTGATATTTTAATATGCGATTTACTTTTTTTTTTCAAAAAATCAAAGAACAACAATAGAACATTCAGGCCAAACAAGTATGTCACTATTGGAGATTAAAAAAGGGTTATGCAAATATCAAGCATGATCTTGTAGGTATACACACGCTTGTGTTATACTCATATATGAATATTTATGAACATTAGGTTAATAGATTCTAATTCTTATATCGCTTTAATTTGTCAGGAATCATTTAGCTTTGGAAATGAAATTCCTAGATGGGATATGTGAAAATAAGGACAAATGCATAAAGATGAATCATTCATAGATGAAGCAACTAAAGAAATAGCTAAAAAGATTGTATGCATAACTTATCAATTTATCACGTATGATTGCCTTTGTGCTTGTATGCATGACTATATATTGTATAACGTTATTGTGACGCACCATCTTATTGTGTTTCAAGATGAATTTACTATTAAATTTGAATCCGGTGAATTGCTAATCAGTTACAATGAAGATCCATTGTCTTTAGCATTAGGATCGAAAGAAAGACATGATCAAATTCGTAGGGTTAGTAGTTTTATATTATCATCAAAGTTTTTCAATAATCAACCCAAATCTCTTCTAATGAAAAATACAGATATAAAACAATCATTCAGTAATAACAGCAAAGACTTGATGAGTAAAAGTAATGCCTGAATGATCAACAACAATGATTCACGACTTTAGAGGCATTGTTGGTAGCAATGCAGCCTAACATCCTTAGAGGGCAGTCAGTTACCAACATCTAGCAAGGATAAGCTTTGGCAAATCAAGTTTAGCAGCAAACCTAAACTCCAGTAATAATTATTATTTTCATTTTGTTTATTCACTTAATATTTATTTGTATTTTATATCTATTAATTTAGTTTTAATACTTATATTTCATTATATATTGCAATAGGATGTTGAGACTCAGAAAATAACCCTGTTGAGGCTGCCATTGATGCATTAAATAATTATGCACCTAATCATTTATCCAAAAGGAACGTTATTACCTAAGGATGAGTTATTTGATCATCCATCCATTTCTTACATTAAAGGGCCTGAGATTGAGGCATTTTATACCCTAGATGAAATATCAGCTTCTGATATTGTTGCCTATATAAGGTTAGCTTATCAATTAATTTAAATATTCAAAGTCAATATCTATTATTCTATATTTGGATATATTACTAACTGGTACTGTTGATTGTTATCGTGCAGCTTCCTATATAGAGAGTTTAAGGTAAAACTAATGATCTATAGATTCAGATTCATTTACCCAAATGTGATTAGTCAAAAGAGTGATACTGTCGTTATTCGTGGTTGTCATGTAGGTCAATGTCTGCAAAAATGGGTTGATTATTTTTTTATACCTTATAATGCTACTATTCGTCTAACTGAAATTCCAACCTTTACATCTAAGATGATGCCTAATAATTGTATATTATGTTGTTTATTTTGCAGGTGTTAGTGTTAGCTTATTGTAATTGACATCAATTCTTAGACGTCATACTTATTTAACTTCGCTCAACCAACAACAATGCCTAACCCCAATATTAGTATCTAATAACGAGGTAATACATGTTATTAATAAAAGGTAATTAGATTATATTCTGTTTCTTCATAATTACTTATATTTTTTCATTTACTATTGTTTTTATGTTCAATTTAGGGGCATGGCTACAGTTGATAAAAAATTAAAGATAAATTGGGTATCATTATCGATAAATATGAAATATATTCTTTTACGTTGAGTTTATTTAGATAAATATTTTCTAAGCCTAAATGTTATTTTTCAGGTACTTCGTCAACTAGGAATTACCGAAGATAGATATTATGTCATTTGTTTTTCTATGATTTTATGAGCACATCATTCAAGGTTAGTATTAATTTCATACAATAATAATATATTTCAATAAAAAAAGCTAAACTTCGTGCTCGTTTAATAACATTGACTTTTGATTTTTTGTTTATAGTGAGAGAGTAAAGGAAGTTTTATGAAAGACGAACTTGATAAAGTTCGTAAAGAGTGGTCTGATTATATATTATCATTCGTTACACTTTGAGGTTAGAGAATGTTGATTGGCTGTAAATATATGCATTACATTGGTTCGAATTTTTTTTATAAAGGCATGTTGGTTAGATTTTTTTAATTTTTGATTGGAGTATCAGTCCATCATTATTGGTATATATTTGTTTTATATCAATTGCATTATATAAAGACACATACAACGATAAACACCAATTGTGAAATATACTTTTAAATGCCAACGTTATCAGTTATAAACCCAAATTATGGGATAATAATGAAGTATTATGATGTTCATAATTTAAATATAAAAATGAAATTCGTAGTATCACAAATATATATTTGATTCACACAAGTACGATATCCATTATAAATAAACCCATATTTAATTTGTCATATAATTTACATATTTACAGACTTCCCTTTCCTGCCTTAATTAAATAAATAGGTTTACAAAATTATACAAAAAATTTGTATACAAAATATAGTATGGTCTATATGTGTCAAGGAAGAGAAAAGTCAAATAATGGATGATATGCATTACATTCATTTAATTGTTTCCTAATGTAATTACTTTTAAATACAGTCAACATCGTAAAGAAAAATTTAACTTTATGATTTTCTTTTAACATATACTCACCAACAATGAATATTTCATCAAGCGTGAATTCGTCATGTTACATTATTTCATTGAAAAGTGACTCTTTTCTATCTATATTCTCGACTTCTGTCTAAAAATAAGTTGAAATGCTTTCCATCACATTCACAGCCTTATCATATGAAGCAACAATATTGCCAATCAATGCATCAACTCAACAATTGGT